GATTGCGCGCGCATGCGCCGTGAGCGGTTCTGATACTTTTTGGGTCGCAGCTGCTCGCAGCGCCACTTCAATAGTGCGATACCCTCATGAGGGAGGAGCGAAATATTAAACACGCCAGAAGTCCGTGCGAGCTCACGATTGCTGTTCGGTAGCTGGTCACGTGGTGTTAATCGCCTCTCGTGACCCCCTGTACACTACACGACGCTTGGCGCAAAACTCGCCCCGATCTCGTGGATTCTCGCATGAGTGGAAAATCAGCTCAAAAAAGTGAAAAAGTCGCACAGTGTACGCACGGCTTTATAGATCAAGAGGGTTTATATGAGGATAGAGTCAGGGGGAGGGGAAAAAAGGCACTTCAGAGTTACCCCCGACAGAGAGGGTAGCTTTGCTATGCACAAAAACACCTCAGACAGATATGCACACAGACTTCAGACATTACACAACATAAGTGTCCACTAGGTGGGGAGGTAGGGTTGGGACTCTCCTCACTTCAGGGCATGCAGCCGCAAGAGCAGCGCTCATCACCTCCGTTTGGACAGGGGAGGGAGATAATGGGTTAGCGAGCACATTGACTCTTGAGCCCCCTTCAGACAGGCCATGAAAAACGGAAATGTTCAGGACTCTGTCCGTAAGACCTTTGTGTCTGAATACAAACATCCGGATAACGTTTTCCGTAATTAAACCGGACGACACCCCTAGTAACAAGTCCGGACTTGTCACGGGTGGCTGCTTCAGACTGGTGAGGTTGAGCTCCGGACAGGGAGGAGGGGGAGGAGGAGGGAACCGGGGGACGCTGTGCGCACCTAGATAGTTCACTCCTGTAGCATGCGGCGAACCATGGCAGCTCGCCTCCTACGGTACCGCCTAGAAGCGCGACGGAGCGCTTCACACCGCTTCCGTGATTCCTTTAACCATTGAGCTTCATCATCCAGGTCTCTTATGCATCTTCGTGTGCGCAGAATTATGCTTAACATAAGTCCATAAGTCTCCCCCCACCCCAGACATCTGGAACTTTTCCCTGCTGTGTGAAGGCAGCCGAAAGAACAAGTTCCGGTACAAAAGTGGTGTGTCTGAAAACACAGTTCTGGTTCAAAACCGGACTGAATTGTCCACACATATTCCAGATTGTCAATCTGAAAAGGGTTCTAGATACAGTTCCATGGCCTTCACCTGTCACAGTCCCACCCAGGCTGGGATAGGGAGAAAGGGTTTCCATAGCAACGGCAGCATTCCACATTTCTTCTGAGGGGGGAGTTTTCACATCAGCCTCACAGGCTTCAAGGGCACCAGATTCAGATAAGAATTGTTTTGGGTACATAATTTCCTCTCTGCCTTAGAGTTCTGTTGGTCTTCAACCCCTCCAGGTCCAATAATGGCAAAATCATTCTATTCCAATCCGTACTGATCTGTCAACTCTCTCCGTGAGGTTAAAGCTTGATTTATGCTTCTCCGTCTGCGCCAGTGCGGAGACACGCAACGCCATTATCCGTCCTTGCGTAGGGCTCCGGCAGGCACGCAAGTACGTACGGAGTTGAGCCCACTTTTTTAAACATCCGTCGAACGCGACAGATCACGCAAGCTTGTGACTGGTCAGGACGCCGCTGTTGTTTACAGCGCCGCCATTGCAAAGAGAGCCAAGGATAACTAGCGGCAGACACGGAGAAGCTTGAAGAATACCGCGCGAAAAAACTCTAAAAATATGAACGTTTAATTCTCCTGTGACTGGAAGAGTGAAAAGATGCGCAGCAAGTGTTTTATTTGTGGACGGAAATGACAGGAAACGTGGGTTTAGAGGTGGGAGAATGAGAGACAAATATGTCCGTGTTAAAAGTCTCTTATATACACAAAAAACATAATATAAACACACTATCTTGGACCGTTACATGACTGGATACCACAGAACAGCGCTACGCCCTCTGTGGTCCTGCCGGGCAATTGCTTTGCAACACTCCAGGAGCAACACGTTCTCACTCCCAGCGCGTCTAAAACAAACGCTTGGTCAGCCACCCTCCACGTCAGACCCGATGCCAAAAGTGCCCTTTTTCGTTACTTATGTGCGAAAAGGGGGTTTTCCCTTATTTGACTGCAGATCCCAATGCAGTGTAAAACTGAAGCGATGGGATGTCCGCTACCGTTGCATCCCAATGCAGCGTTACACTGACGCGATGGGATGTCCGCAGCCAGGGCACCAAACAAGCTCATTGTGCCTCACCTTAACCTTGTCCTCTTATTTAACCTTATCCTCTTATTTAACCTTCCCCTCACCCCTATCCTAACCTTAACCATCTTGCTAGCGAACACGTTAGTGATGTGTCGATCGCTCTAAAAGCCGGCTCTATGAAGTGAAAGGCGGGAGCCGCCTCGTGATTGGTCGAGTTTGGACCGAGCCAACGCGAGGGGGAGGTTTCAACTACCAAGGTGGAGGTTAAAAGTAGAGGGTATGTGTAACCTCCCCCTCGCCAGCTGGTATGTTCTAACGTTCCCCTTGGGCGGCAAATATGAAAATTCACAGTCAGACTCTGACTGTCAGAGTCAGAATGCATGGGAAACAAACGCTTGATCACAGTGAGAGTAACGTTTTAGGTAGCAAGAGGGTTAAGGTTAGGATGAGGGAGAGGGGAAGGTTATAAATAGTGAAACGTTAAGGTTTAGGCGCGGTTAAATGAGCTGGTTCTGTGCCGCATCAGCGGATATCTTATCACGTCAGTTTTACGCTGCATTGGGATCTGCAGTTACAAAAGGGAAAAACCCTTTTCGCACATAAGTAACGAAAAAGGGCACTATTGGCGTCTGGGGTCTGACGTGGAGGGTGGCTGACCAAGCGTTTGTTTCCGACGCTTAGGGTGTGAGAATGTGTTGCCAGGAGACGGAGAAGTATGAGGGCAAAACGCTTCCGTCAATCCGTGCGTGTCTGTCCCTTGCGGAGCTGACGGAGAAGCATAAACCAGGCTTAACCCTAAGTGCATTCTTGCATCCTCAGGAAACGCAGGTTTCTGGTTCCAGTGGACACGGATCTAGTGAAAATACCCGATGGTGCTTGTCCTGCAGATTCACTATAACAGCTTTAACTCCTCTGCCACCATCTGACCACGACTTATAGACAGAACTCAGTCGGAACCCAGAAGCTGATAGGTTTTAGAACTCTGCTTTAGATATGTTTTGATAAAAACATACGTAACAACAGCCTGCATTCCTTTTTTTGAGACTCAAAAGTTGGCAACCATAAATAGAAAGGACAAAAACATGGAAAAATCTACAAAAATAAATGTTTTACTGTCTCTCCCACACAGTCATGTGAACGCATCATAAATCAGTGTCCCGTCTGCTTTCACATATCTTAGCATCCATTGTAAAACAGCAGCTTTAAAGCTGACCTCCTTGTGTAATTCTCTTAGATTAAAAGTGTGTTTTGGCCAGAGGAATTTAATACTCTGAAGGGCACAAGATTTAACTTGATCATGCTGCTTTTGTTTAATCATCTTGGACAGCGATCATTAATTTTGTGGATGTTCGCTGCTCTTTTGAAGGTGAGCTGGCAGCAAACTAAAAAAAAGAGAGAGGGGAGGTTGTTACAAAGCAAGGTTTTTCCATTCCTCTCTCAAGTGATGCATTGACCCTTGAGAAGTTTGTACTGATAAAGCTATACAGTCTCTCAGATAGAGTGCATGCCATGGGGAGCGGGTCATGGAAAAGTCTCGAGTTTGACTAAGTGCACTCTCTTTTCTACCCTGTCTGTCAGTCTGTCTCAGCTTCACTCACTCGCTCACTCACCGAGTGCACACGCTCAATCACGCACACACAACAGAGCACATGTTCACCCCTCAGATACACCAGACACATTGACCGCTCCGTGCACGCACATCACTGCATGCTGAGGTAATTTGTAGCTGCAGAACACCTCATAACAGAGAGTTAAAGAAACAAAGGTCTCAGGTTTGCAATGCTTTAAAAGGCTATGTTATAGAGGACTCAAGTCAAGAAATATATTATCAGTATCACACAGAATTAGTTTGGATTTCTTTATTTATTATTTTTTTAATCTTGGAAAGAAACACTGTAACTGGAGAAAAACCTCTCAGGCCAAGGAAAGCAGATCATTGCTGTAAAATTTGTTACAGAGACAAGCTTACCTTTTTTTCCCCAGCACATGTTTATTTTAGCAATCTTAACATTTAAAGGCATTTGGGTTGTTTCAAAAGTTAAACTTCCTGAAATAAAGTAGACAGAGTCTGTTAAAACAATGCACAGCCCACTGTTTATTTAATCTTTAACAACTGAGCAGGAATAATGAATGTCTTTGTGAACTTTGGGGTTCATTTGCAGATATGTCTTGCTCATATATTAATAATTAAAAGCAAAGTATTTTGTTAAGTTAACTTGATGAATGAGTGTCAGAGAAATGCTTTTTTTCCATTCTCACATATCCTTGAGAAGATAAGTCCTTATGAGGCCATTTTTCCTGACTATTATGTAAAGATTTTACTTTGCATGGCATATTTCTTTTTAGCACAATTACAGCATTTTAATCTAACATATGGTGTTTCTGGATTAATGTGGACGTTTTAAGCAAATCTTGCACATGCACAAATTAGAAACAACACAACCAGAATACTGATTGTGTGTTTATGTTAATGCACACAGGATCTATTTAGGATATTTTCATGATTTTGTCACATTCATTTCAGTTATTTATGCATTACAGCATGAAGTGTGTGGTTTAAATTATTTGGTAAAAGTAGAATAACCCCAAGATCCTGGTTCACTTGTTCATTAGGTGCCTGCATGCATGTTTTCCACTGCCAATCTCCTCATTCTCCTCTTTTGCACATTCATCAAAAGACTTTACAGGTGCAGCTAACGTGACTGCATCTAAAAATACATAACACACTATCAGTGTATGAAATCTACTCTGTGTGAGGGAATAACTTCGCTCCACGTGTTTCCTGAGGTTTTGTCAGGTTGAACTTTAAGAAAAAGTAGTTTGCACAAACAGCGCCCCCTGTTGACACTATGTCGATGGTTAACACCCGAGTGTAAGGGATGGGTGAGAGGTGAAGAGTTTAGAGGTTGCATTTTATTAGGTCTGCTGCGAAATCGTTGCGTTTCAATGCTAAACAATGTTTAGGTTCAGTGGTCATAAATTAATTCTGTCGGAATAAGATTTTTTTTTATATTCTCGCGTAGCTCTTTGAGCAAGCAGCGAAGCTCAGCTGCTAATCGATAAGCTTCGCGTGCTAGCTAATGTAGCATGCAGCTAGCATGGTCGTTACTATGACACAAACAAGTGTTTTGACTTAGCGTGACTTGCGCAGTTGATTCTAATTTGGACTGTGGAGGACAAATATATAACCACAAAAAGTGAGTATACCTTAATATAACACCACGTTGTCACAAGTCGGTAGTTGTTACTGCATTATCGTCGACTAACTTGAGCTACTTTTGCCATTAATTTAACTTGTATTGCTCCTGTATCGATTAGCTATGTCTTTGTTGCTCACATTAGCCTAAATCTGAGCTGAGAGTAATAAATTTAAGGGTTCTTGTTACATTTATATAAAGTCAAATGTCTTCAGGTGTCGTGTGAACTGTAGCTCTAGTTTTTTTCATTAATCAGTCCAATTCAAGTTTCATGGTTGCATTTTTGCACTAAACATTAGGAGATGGGATGCAACAGTGAGTGAAAAGCATATTTCTAGAAGAAGGGTCTCATAAATTAAAGTTTAACGTTATATGCGTCCATTTGTCCAACTCATGATCTTCCTGGTTCCTCATGGTTAGTCTGTGCCCCACCCAAGTATAATGGAAAGTGTTACAGCGATGGAAAAATGCACGATTTTCTGTTATAATATCTAAATATTACTAATCTGTGCATCTCCTCCCTCATGATTCCACAGAGAGGGACAATAATGGAAGAGTGAAAGATCTTCAAGATGGTTTTTATTTGTTTATGTTAACAAGTTGTTTTAAACGTTCCATTTGTTCTGTCAAACCAGCCACATCAGTGTTGACCTTATCCGTGTTCAGGCTCAATAGATAAGTTTGTTTTCCATTTCCTTAGTCTTTTCCCACCAGTGATGTTAGATTGTTTCTCTGGAAACAAGAAGAGAGTGTAGATCTGGCCATCTTCACCTGGATAAAGCCATATTCAGGGTTTAAAATAAGCTATTAGGTATATATTTGTTAATGAAACAAAGCAGCACATCAACCTATCTGGGTGGAGTTCAAATCCAGACAGAGGGCATAACCCATTACCTAAAGTGGGATTAAGACATTTAAATGGAAATATTTCCAGTTAGTCAGGCATCACAAAGCCAATAAATAATTGCTCCATTGCTGTTTCTAGCCATCAAAGCGAGTAGCTATGCACAGGGTTGGGCAGTAGTTATTTTTTTATTATGATTAAAACCATTCTAGAGTTATGTACGCCTTTAAAGTCAGCACGATAACATCTGCATTCTTACATAATTACTGCTTCACTGAGCATTTCATATTTAGGAATGTTCTGATCAATTTTTTCTGTCCTTAATCTGAGTCACTTAATTCTGAGTATTTGTCGATACAGAATCCGAAACTTCTGATCCGATGAATAAAGAAAAACACATCCAAGTATTTTGTTTTTATCATTATTAGTCTTTTTTGTATTTGTGTCATTTCCTTAGTTTATCTGCCAAAACATGTTCAGAAAGTACATTAATAATAAATATTTAAAAGTACGACCTGCAGGCTCAATTTTCTCTGAACAACACCTGAGAGCTGCGTGTGGGAAGTAGTGACGAGAAGGAAACTTATACCCCGAAGAGAAAAGCCAGAAGAGACAGAAGTTTGTTTCTAAGATGGCGTAAATTTTGAATGCAGCTCCATCTTTTCCACCACTTGAATACCCTCCATGCACATTACAAGTGGCTGTTGCACTGCCTAAAGAGGCTTCTCCAAAAAAGGTTTAGAAAACCACCCAATGTTGGAGAGTTGACATGTTGCAATAATGTAGCAAAAATGTCAGTTTATTGGCAGGGAATGGATTACATTTGTTTTAAAGTGACGATGTGTATTTTTTCCTGGCGAAAGGGGGCAGTACATACCTAAATCAAGGCAAGCAAGTGATATTTTTGTGTTTGAGTAAGACCTTAGCAGCCGATGGCCATTAAGGTCAAAAATCCCTTGGAGAGCAACCTCCAGCAAAATGACTAGCACACCAGACCCCTTTCATCACTGGCGATGAGCGTAAAACAACAGCGTTTATGAAAAGTGTTGTAACCGATTGTTACTAATCAGTAAATGCGTTTTGTTTTCACGGGCTCCCGTAGAAGGAAATATGGCATCCCCCACAGACTTAGACCCGCTCCCATGTTTTTTAGACCCAATTTTTATGGTTATATGTTCCAAAACTGCCAATAATTTTCAACAACGGCATTATTTCATTCATTTTCAACAACATTTCGATGGATATTTCCAGAGGCTAAAGCCTAATGGGCTCGACACACTGGAGGAGACAAACGACCGCGATCAGCGAAATTTGTCGCCGTCGCTTTTATTACCTGACACACGGGAGGCGACCCGCGGCAGCAGCCAGCGGCGAAACCGTCTACGTGTTCTGTTCCATGGCGAAATCAAAACTTCCGTTATTTTGTTTGGCTGTGTCAGGTTGGAGGGAATTAAGGTTATTTAAGCGGTTCAGAGTTAATAAAGTGGTAGATATGATGTTTCACAAGGTGCTACTAGAGTTATGTGAAATCTTACTTCTGATTATACTATATAAAACATAATAATAATCAACTTCTCCTCCATGTTTGCTCGGAGGTGTACGGAGCATCCTGTCCGCTCAATGGTCAATGAATGAAACCTCAGCTGATTGGTCCTCGTCCAAGCGACAGCGATGAAAAGTTGAAAACGTTTCAACTTTCTGGGATCGCGTCGCTGGGTCGCCTATGCACGACACGTGCACGAGTGCAAAATTTCACACGCACGTGTTTTGCGTTTCGCTTGGTAGGAGGGAGACCCGCGATTATCGTTTTGTCGCGCATGTCTCATTGAAAATGAATGGAGGAGAGGCGATGTCGCCTCCCGTGTGTCGAGCCCATAATTTATACTTCTCCGTCAGCTCCACCAAGGAGAGACACGGATGGAGGCAATTTGCCCTCATACTTCTCCGTCTTCTGGGGAGTGTTGCAAAGCCAGTCCCCTCCAGGACAGCAGAGGGCGTAGCGTTGCTCTGTGGTATTCTGTCATGTATCCGGTCCAAGATAGTGTGTTTATATTGTGTTTTTCTGTATTTAAGAGACTTTTTAACACGGACAAATTTGTCCCTCATTCTCCTCCACCCCTTCATGCGCTTGCGACCTCAACCCACATTTCCCGTCATTTCGCCCACGAATAAAACGCTTGCTGCACATCTTTTCACTCCTCCAGTCACGGGGGATTAAAACTTCCACATTTTTAGAGTTTTTCCGCGAGGGATTCTTCAAGCTTCTCCATGTCTGCTAGTTATCCTCCGCTCTCTTTATGTTTTTGTGGGCACAATGGCGACGCTGTTGACGACAGCGGTGTCCTGACCAATCACAAGCTTGTGTTCTCCATCTCGACGGACGGATGTTTAGAAAAGAGAGCTCAACTTCATCCGCCCTTGCGATCCTGTCGGAGAGCACTCAAAAGGACAGATATTGGCGTTGCGTCCGTCCCGACACAGACGGAGTATTATAAATTGGGCTTGAAGGTTAAAAACTACACATTGTCTCTTTAAAGAAAGTCGACTGCTTTCTGTCCATTCTCTTTAAGCTTTTAGATAAATCTCACTTTTTCCATCCAGCGTTGCTTTTTCATTTGGATAAAAGATGCAAATGAAAATGGAAAACAGGGTTTAGCTAAATCTATTTGTTTGCATGGTGTCGCTCTGAATTTCGCAATCTCACACACACACACACACACACACGCACACACACACACACTAAGCTCATAATAGAGTCATGCTCAAGCCTTTTGCTGTCTGGACCTAGCTTAAAGTCAGGAATGCCAAAAGACTGCCAGAGAATCCAGACTTGGACAGTGATGATGAGTATTCTGGAGTTGTAATTGGTAGAGTCCTTTCAGGATTATTTCTTTGGACATTAAAATACATTTTAATCCAGGAAACCAAACCCAACTGTCTTTGGATGCTAGATTTCTTTAAAAAAAAAGAGAAAGATTATATAACTGTCATTGTTTATTGGATGGTATCCATCTAATTGTTGCATCAGAAACCTCAAGTTGTTTTTAACGTGCTGAGGACCAAGCCACAATAGTTTCATTTCTGCTGAGCATACCTGTTATTATCACTTGTCATGCCACATTTTCCGTTGTTAAGCTGGTTAACCCTTATTGTCAGCATAGTCGTGCACACAAACACTTTTGCAATGTACCGAGAGCCACTGTGGTTTTTACCATGAGGATCACTGCGTCATGGTCCTGCTGTAGCAGTCTACAGAGGCGCAGTGATAAGAGTTGTCTGAGCCAAAGGGTTGTTACTATTACAAGAGTAATTGAGGTTGAAAGGTGTGAACTGAAGTTCAGAGAGGAGAGGAAAACGCCTGCTGAGGGAGTGATGGTGCTCCCTGTGGCGTCATCTCAGACTCCGTGCACCAGAGAAGCAGGAAATGATCTTTAAAAGTGAATAATCTGTAATTTGTTGCTGCATACTAGAGTCCTGCAGGATTGTTTTTAAACCTATACTCTAGTCTTCACATCCGGACTCCTTAATCACTAAACAAAAAGACGTGCTTTACGATCAAATGCATGTATGTCTGTGGAGTGTTTTATTTCAGAAAACTCAGATTTTCTTTATATATGATATTCAACCCTTTTCTTTAGACTTAATGTCATTACCAACTTAACCGAGCCTGGCTCTTGGATGCCTATGCCTACCATAATATAACGTCCGTGAAATGTACGCAGCAATTAGCTGCCGTTATAGTGGATGGGTGCATTTCCATTGGCTGTGAAAAATCACGTTGCAAGTCTGTTTTTTACACGCTATGCTTCCAGAACGCAAGATTTGCATTGAGTCCTAAGTTTGCATGTAAGTTATAGTCATTCTGTTCGAGACCCCGCACAACTGGAGGCCCCATTAATTGTTTTTTTTTCACAAAGCTGCTAGAAACTCATTTTTCTGTCTTTTCTATTAATTAAAGCATTAAATGACAAGTAATGAATTTGTGCAGTTGACATCAAACTCTGTCTTTACTGAGGTCAGTACATTGTCACAAATGAAAGGCAGAGTCACTTTGATTGTCATCAGTAAACATTTAAATTGTCATGTGCTACATTTTTTAAAATGTCGGAAAAAGCTGAGTGTATCCCGCATGTTCAATGAGCGCGTCTGTCAACGCCAGACCTGATTCAGTCATGATGCACCCAGAGTTTCAACAGAAAGATTCCCATATTTACTTTCCATGCTTAGAATGCCTGTCCTGGATTTTTCCACTGTTTGTAGGAAAATGTGTCCCAACGGCAGCCTTTATTAATGAAGATATCAATAACTACATTAGTTTCTCGTTGCTGATGGGCTTTTTAATGACTAAGAATATTTATGTTGTCCTGTTTCTTAATCCTCACAGATGGCTGTATCGGTGCGAGGCCTGTACTTCATTACCACGCTGTTTTTGGGTAGTTTCTTTGGAAGCATCTTCATGCTGGGTCCAGTTTTGCCGCTCATGCTGTTCTCTCCTGCTTGGTACCGCTGGATCACTGATCGGATCATCGCTACCTGGTTCACCCTTCCTGTGGTGAGTGTGATAACCTGACTCAGTCCAGGTCTAAAACCTTATTTGATTACATTTAATGTCATTTTTGAGTATTTTAGACACTCGTCATCTAATCAGATCTATTGAACTCAATTCTTTTTCTGTTATCTTTTTGTATAACCTCTTTCTTTGCCTCACCCCCCTTGTCTTTTTCCTTCCTTTGCACTTGTTCTTTTCTCCACTGCTAGTCTTTGCTAGAGCTGGTGTTTGGGGTAAAGGTAGTAATTACAGGAGACGGCTTTATTCCGGGGGAGCGAAGTGTGATCATCATGAACCACCGCACCCGCCTGGACTGGATGTTTCTTTGGTGTTGTCTGCTCCGGTACAGCTACCTTCGTCTGGAAAAGATCTGCCTCAAGGCCACACTCAAGATCGTTCCTGGTTTCGGTGTGTGTGCAGTGGGTGCTTTGCCCTTTACTCACACACAGACACACTTTAGCACACTTGCACAGAATATTTCCCAAAAAACATTTAATTGCATAACAATTTACAGTCCTGTGCAATGGTCTGCTCCTCTTAGAAGGATGCAGATTTTTCTTCTAGGCTGTCCAAACAGTGTTAAAAGATATTCCCCAGGTCTTTGGCTCTTTATTTTTATTCCTAGTACCCAACAGCTTTAAGACGAGTATGTTTTTTATATATTTGATAAGCCACTCATTACAGACCCACGAGTCATTAAACTCAAGTAAAGGAAGACTCTTTGGGTCTTCAAATAGACAGCTCAGTAAAAAAAGATTCTAGATATTCCGTGACTAGAAACTGGTATTGTTACAATTGCTTTAATTATATTACACTTTAAGAGGATTACATTGATACTTTTGCAGCAGAAAAGTGACTCACCCAGTTTTGGTTTTTAACCATTTATGTTTACAAATGTTCCTTTGGGTGTGAAGGGAAGGTCGAGAGACCAAGTCTGCTTTGAAGTGTCCTGGAGCCAGTTACAGATAAAAAAAAAAGTAAAAATAAAAGTAATCAGTTACATTTGTAATGACTTTACATGCTCTCTGCAGGCTGGGCAATGCAGGTGGCCTGCTTTGTCTTCATCCACCGTCGCTGGGAGGTGGACAAGAAACATTTAGCAAACATGCTGGACTACTTCTGTGACATCAGGGAGCCTCTGCAGCTGTTGCTGTTCCCAGAGGGCACCGACCTCACTGGTGAGGAGTAAAGAAGGCAAATATCCACCCATCCATGGAACAGTCAGCCTACATTTCGTCTAAACCCAAAACAAGCTATTAGAAGTCATTGAGATCTCACATTCTTGTTAACCATAACCTCATCAGGTCTTGGGTTGCACCTCTGGTTTTTTAATGGGTCGTGTTTATGGGAGCAAAATAACTGGCCCTTTGCTTTTGAATGTTGTTCAACATTTGAGTTACTGTTCGTTTCCATGTCCTCACATGTTTGTGTTTAAGCCTCTTAAAGCTAAAGGCTTAACTTGACACATGAAACCCGAGTGTGTGCTCATCGTTGTTCTGGTATCTTGTGCAGAAGTTGTTGCATTAAGTGCTTCCTTAAAGGTGCAGAAGATGTTTTTCTGGAGCTTTTTTTTTCTTCTTTTTTTACCAAATCGACCGAAATGCTCATCACATAGTGATGGCTAGGGCTGGATGATATAGAAAAATAGTATATTGATACATTATTTTTATATTGATCTATATCGATAATTATAGGAAAATATTTAAAATATAGTAGAAAATATATTTTATGTGCAGTCCTGGCCATTTTATTTTTATTCTCCGCCTCCTCTCTCTGCGACATCTTGCTGCCTCATGCTCTGTTTTGGTTTAAGAGGGGAGGGCCTGGTGACGTAGCGTGCCTGAGTCTGTGGTTTTGATTGGTTAGGAGTAAGTAGTGAGTAGTATGCTGCTACCTAATAGGTTATAATGAAAAAAAGGAAACTTTTTTTATCCGCCCATTTTTTTCCTATCGCACCACGTGCCTTATTGAACTATTGAATTATCGTCCAGTCCTAGTGATGGCTACCGCTACATTAAATGTTTTATATTTTAAAAAAAAGTATTGCTTCTGAAAGGTACAATTCTGGAAAAACCTCATCCAACCATTGTGAATGTCCCGTTCCTAATGATTGGATCACGATCCATCCATCAGCGCGTACCCCTTAGGGTTGGGCGGTATGGTATAAGATCTCTTCATTCCAAATCTGACTTTTTATTTACTTGATTTATTTATTTTCTTCCTTTCTTAAACAAAATTATGAATGACGGAATAAATATTCAAAAACTTAATCTGATATTTTTTATTTTGACCTGAATTCAAAGTCAAACTAAGTGCACGCTGTGAATTCTGCTTAGAAAACCAGACACTATAAATAAGGCTATTTGCATGCTTCCTTAGAAACTTTTTAAAAGTGAACTGCTAAACGCTGCATTCTGGCACGACTGATATATTTTACGCACCAATGTTGGACCTGTTAATTATAAATGCTTTATGTTTAAGCCACATGAAAAATCCTTTTGTTTCCAGCTGTTGTGGCAGAATTTTTATTTTTACTTCATTATGTCAAAAGCAAAGATTTTTCAGAATGTTGGTCAGTGTGAAGGATGATTTGAATATTCTGATGCAAGTCAGATAAATTTAAACTGAACGCTTTTGTCTTGTTTTAAAAATGTTTACACAAACCTACACTTTATATTATGTTATATTATATTATATTATATTATATTATATTATGTTATATTTTATTTTATTTTATTTTATTTTATTATTATCCAAACACAGAAACAGTTCCATCCTGAAAACAGCTTTTCTAGGATTAAAAATGTCAGCATTGGCTGAGAAGGGAGCTCCGGTCAGGGATGCATAAACCACTCTCAACTACGGAAGCCTCCAAATAAATTACTTTAAATTCCAGGTTCCGCCATGATGGAAACAAAAGCAAAATAATTGTTGTTCTTCGGATTGACAGTCAGCAAACTGAAAAGGCTGACTGCTAGCTTTTAAACCAGCTAGCTACTGGTACAGTCAGCAGCTATTGCTGTAAAGCAGGCAGAGACCTCCCACTAGTGTACCAGCCCAAACCACAAAACTGTTCAGAGCAGTTTCTGCTCAGTAGAAGGCTCCAGAGTACCGTCCAGTGTGAAGTTGCTGAGATGTAGGGCTCAAGAACCACCGACACCTATTTGGAAACAATAGATTAAAGTGTTGCTTTAACCCTTTGATGCATGAATTATGAAATCTTCAACCATGATTTTTTAAACATTTTTTTTTTCATTCATCTTTAGGTGTGAATGAAACAAATTTTATATTTACATATTTTTTGTAACATTTAATTTACACATAGTTTATTACATGTCCATCTCTGTGGACAGCGTGCATTCTGAACATGAAATATGTTGGCTTGACTTACTGAAGTCCAAATGGAGGGGCTCAAATGCAATAAAGCCTTCAACAGCTGTGCTTAATAGCAAAAATAAATAAATAACAATTTTGAGTACCTGTCCACTGTAGTGACCGTTATGCATCAAAGGGTTAAAGGCTTTAAGCGTAAAACATTTCCATCACCCCGTGTTAAGCTTGTCAAGCCTTCAACTTAAGAGTGACAAGTCCGTATTGTCACTTAAAATTTTGATAACTTTCACGAAGGTGAAATAATTGTTTCAGGTGCACATTTGTAGAAACAATGAACATAAATCAGGACTGTAGTTTTCTGAGGCTTTTTGTTTCGTTCTTCTGCAGAGAACACAAGAGCAAAGAGTGATGTATATGCTGTACAGAACAACCTGCCAAAGGTGGAATATGTGCTTCATCCGCGCACCACCGGATTCACCTTCATTGTGGAGAGACTCCGAAAAGGTCAGGACGATGCGCATCACCAGCTTCTGAAGTTATGTAACGTCTCTTCTCCGTCCAACACGCTTGCAGGCTGGCCAGACGCATGCACTTTTGATGATGAACGTTTGTTCAAAAGAAAATAAGCAGACCTTAAAGCCTAAAATCAGAGCAGAAAGCCTTTATCAGCACAAACCAACGGAAAATGACATGTTACAGCGTGGACTGGAGTTATCCCACCGGCATTTATTGAGGTGGGATCATACCTGTTATTCTTTTTAAGCCCTGGATTTGTGCTTGATCCCACTGCTGCTCCCCTGAGATGTTCATGTTTCTGTATGAGCTAATTCTGGCAGTCCTCCAGGGGTCTTAAATGCCACATCTGCCCCATCGGTGTCGTCCTCACTCACCCTGTTTGCTGATGATGGCACAAACTCGCCAGGCAGGTGTTGTGATATCATATCATGGGCCTTAGCTAATTGCCCTCCCCTTTCTGCGTCACTGACTGACATGATGTGCGTGCTGTCTTTGTCCAGGTCCACTGTGCTGCTTTCATCTCTATTTTTACCTCGGTAGAGCTCAGCTGTGCAGGAACAGGCACTGTGTCATGCGTTTTCCTGTAATTTTGAGATTTTATTTATTTATGAGGGGCCTGCCCCTGAAATACATAGGGAGAGAGTGCATGGCCTGGCAAAACATGCGCCAGCGGGCAGCCCCCTTCACAATTCCTTCAGGAATTTTCTGTTTTTTTCTTAGAAAGGAACAATATTGAATTATAATGAATCCCTGGATGATTAGTACTAAGTGAAATGGTTCTCCTGGACAGTTTCTATACCTTGCAGTTTTACACTGACCCCTTCCAAACACAGCTGTTGTCATTTTAAGATTTTCGTTAGCCCAGATGTTTCCATTCATTATTCAAATTGTCATTTTCTAGGTGATAACCTGGACGCTGTCCATGACATTACGGTGGCGTACCCCAAGAACATCCCTCAGACAGAACATCACCTCATAATGGGTCAATTCCCTCGTGAGATCCACTTTCACGTCCGCCGCTATCCAGTCTCTTCACTCCCCGCCTCGTCCTCTGAGCTGGAGTCTTGGTGTCAAGAGCGATGGGCTGAGAAGGAGGTCCGTCTGCGGGATTTCTACTCGAGCCAACCCCGAGGCTTCGACAGGGACGGCGTTGCGCTCGTGCCGCCTTGTAAATCCGAGCTGCGTGTCGCTCTGATCAAAGCTGCCTCACTGCTGTACTGGAGCAGCTTTGTGGCTTTTTGTTTCACCGGCTTGTGGCTCTGGGCCCCTTTCAGGCTCTACGCTCTAGTCATGATAGGAGTTTACACGGCCCTGCATAAGCTGTTTGGTGGGCTGGAACTGGTGGAGCTGGCTTGCCATCGATATTGGAAGTCCACACACTCAGATGTGGCTGAGAACCAAAAGAGGTTAGATGGAAAAGCACAGTAGTGTAACTAAACTACATGTTTCCACTTTATAACCAGAAAGGACTCTAAACAGATCCGTTGTGTTCAGTCCAGAGGGCTATAGGGGTCCGTTCTGAGAAACAGGAGGCATGCATGGCTTACCTTTTCTGTAACGGAGTATGTTTCCTTGCTGGGTTCAAGGACTACATGTTCAACTTGACCTTTGTATGTCTCTACTCGCACAAGTTACTCAACTCGATCAGATTTGACCCGTTTTAGTTTTAGCATTGATCATGTTGAAGTTTTCCCCATCATCAAAAAAAGCTGTTATTTTGTCTCGTCTTTGTAACAGTTTTTTTTTTAGTAAATGCAGCGTTGCCATTTTTTTAACCATCATAAACAGAGCAGATCCATTTTACCGCCGACCAGCTGTACGTGCGACATACCCAGTGGACGTTTAGATCAGTCATGTTATGCTAGCTTAAAGAAAGACATTTCAGGAGTAAACAGGCACTTGTGTATAATTGTTTACCTTTGATTAGGCATCATTCGGTGTCTTGTGTTTGCAGTTGGTTCTACAAGTTACCATGTTGTTTTATTACTGTTTCTGCACAAACCAAAGTTGAGAAAAAGGGTAGCCAAGCGGAACATCATCTTTTTTTTTTTTGTGAGGGAGGGTTATCTTCCTACGCTACTGGCAAGGCTGCCAGTAAGACTTTTATTAAATCAAATTCCTAAACGGAATCATGTGTCTGAGTAAAAGCAGATGAGATTTATGCCCTTTCTGGGAATGAAGAGATGCCTTGTGGAGGCAGGTTGGTGCTGATGAGGTGGAAGAATGTCCTGTTGAGGCAACATTACCCCTCGGTGTGCAGGGTGGCACAGAGAGCCAGACTTGGAGTGGAAAACCGGCCCTGAAGTTGACCTAATCCCAAAAAGCCCCATAATGCCCACCTCTCCGTGTCCCTGTCTCCACTGCAGGCATCGATGTGCCTGCTAAACTCAATTAGCGAGCAACAGCTGAGAAAGCTTCTCCAGCCATGCCAAAAAAGGACAGAAATTAAAGTAGTTTGGAGCAGCTCTTCAACTCCACCCCTTTCATATTTTGCATTTTATTACAGGTCCCATGAATTCAGTAGGAAAGGTGCGGTTGTGTCTTAGTAAAGGAGTTTTTGTGCAATGTTCTGACACAGCTGGTTACTTCAGTCCGCAACACAGCAGAAAGAAAAAGGTTCATCCCAGCCACTGTGATGCAGCTTTAATCATTTCACTAAAGGCATGTAGACGTTTACATGGTTATATATTTGTAACGATCTTTGTGTTTTTATTTTAGTTTACTGCAGATCCTCGACTTCTCTGAAGTCGCTGTCCTCAGGAAACGACGTGGACAATGTTTAAAGGCACTCTCTTAAATAAACATATATACCCCGAAGCAGCTTTATGACTTCTACAAAGCCTCCTTTGATTCTGTTTGTCTGGTTTTATGGGCTGTTTAGGAAACGTGCAACTTAAGAAACCCATTTTACGGTGAAGGACAAAGAGAGGTTGTTTGATTGGACTGAGAGCTTAAAATATTAGTGTTTTGATTTTATTTTCAGTCCTCGACACGGATTCTATTATAGCATCACGGTGAGACTTTGATCCGCTGCAGGTTATCTTGTATAATGTCTGAGCAACTCTTTAAATCCATGGAGTAATAATCCCTACAAGACCTTGAATGTTCATATTACACAACACTGAGACCATAGTTTGTCTCATCTGTTACACACACACACACACACACACATCTGCCATTGACAACCAAAAAGGTCAGGAGCTTTGAAGGTGAAGTGCAGTCGCCATAGTAACTCATGTTGACTCCCATGTCTCCTGGCAACGGATGTAGAATGATGTCAATGGAAAGCATGCTATTTTCTATTGGTGACAATGATGTCATCCCTGTGTGTGTGTGTGTGTGTGTGTGTGTATAAAGGGAGGTGGAAGCAGAAGTTAACTTCTACATCTTGGAGGGTGACATTCAGTAAAGTAAAAAGCCCAGGGCAGCATATTTAAATCCCATACAGTTCTTCAGCATCTGAGATATCTGGCAGGTGGAAGATGGATGATAGGCTGACAATCTGTTCCAAATGACACTCAAGAGAGCTTACCTTTATTTTTCTGCCCTTTGTCATATTAATTTGGGGAAAATTTGTGTTTTTGGTGCAAATCTTGGTTATATGAGCAAATTCCAGTCCATGAGCATCTTAAGTGTTGGCCTGGTATGTAGATTATCCTGCAGGTTAAAGCAATAGCCATCTCATTTTACATAAACAGATAATTGCCCCTACATACCAGATGGATATCTCAATAGATGCCAGACAATCCTGGGATTACACAGAAATTAAAGCAAAATCTACTTTGGATTATAAAGTAGCACACTAGAGAAAAAAAAACTATTTATCCTTTGGTCATACCAAGTCATAAATGCATCGATATTCTCCATGCATAAATGCCTTCAGTCTCTAAAATCACAAATCTGCAGCCAGGTGAGTCTGTGTGAGCTAAGTTTAGCCCTGGATGCCTCCAGGAGTGACTGCAGAAGAGCAGACCTGTTGTTGGTTCCTCCAGTCTCTCACACACCATCAAAGAAGGCTGCCAGCAGCATTAGAGCTATAAATAACCCCAGCAGCTCCGCAATATTAGTGGGCGGATTAGGAGTGAGTCGTCGTTTCCTATTTTTAAACCAAAAATAAAAGTGGAATCAAACCTCTTCTTGGTGGATGATTCTCTTAGTGCAGAGTTAGGAATTAAAAGTGGGACTTTGCTGTAATTTTGTCCATTTCTGTGTTTGGTTTCATGTTGAATTTTTGATTTTTAGCTTCCTAAAGGCACATAAAGCAGGTTGATGTCAGAAGCGGGCAAATGGTTCTGCATCAGCAACAATCTTCAGTAGGAATCTTGAGCTTGTTTCTTAGGATTCTGCTGCCACCTACAGGTTTTAGCTTCAGGGAAACAGTTAAGTAAATAAAAAAATACTATTTATTGTCAGCAAGACTGCGTCTTTATTTAGAAATCACATCAGAACATATCTTCCTGAAGTCGTAGAAGAAACAACGTTCATGTGGAGAAATAAAAACATTTAGCTTTTAAATAAAATGCTAATTTAAAAAAAAAAAGAAACACTGACTGTACACTTACTGTGAAACACAAACATCAATGTTTTGTTTTGTTTTTCTTGTAGAAACAACTTTACACGACTAAAGCTTTTTGGTAAAGCCTCCCATGCGTTCACACACTGAGCTGTGATGCAAAACAAATCCAGAATTTCTCCCAATCTCATACAAAATGCTTATTTTCTCAGTTTGCTTGTATAAAAACAGCTTTTCTGGATATTCTAAAGGACTAAAGCGCCTGGCTTTGAATTTTATGAATCAGGTCATCTGATGACAAAACACGCCTCCAGCCACATTTTACATAAAGAGGGTAGATCACCTCGCTGGGCGAAGTCACCAACATGACAGAACATCTGCAGCCATTTGAATGAAGAACACCATTTACAGCCTGGTAAATATTTAGCTTTGCAGCCGTTTCTCTGGAGTTAAAGCAACTTTTAAATGTGATCCATTCTTTAGTAATCGCAGTGGGTGGGACAGAAGACACACATGGATGGTAACGGCGGTCTCCTGCATGGTTACGGGAAAACGAAGCCACTTCCTGAACATTTTAAATATGTTGCATCAATAAAAATATTCACACATGAGCAAGACTTAAAGAAACAACTCAATCACTGTCCAGGACTACAACGAATAATCAAATATGACATCACACTGTGCGGTCCTCTGTGCAGCTTTTGAATGAAAACTGATTTTTTTTCAAACAGTACTACGATCATTAAAATCTAAAAGCTAAGAAAGGGTAAAGAACAAAAAACGATGGAGCGGTCTGCCAGCGACAAACACGCCAAGACGAAGTTCACGAGCACAGTTTCCAATAAATGAAAGGTGGGGTTTATTTAAGGATGCTTTGTAGGGGAGGCTGGTTGTTAAGATGTGTGACGCCCCTCATGAAGGGGTTACCATGAGTGTGTGTAGTGTGCAGGGGTGATGAAAACTCTGTGCGAGTGAAGGTACAGCTGCCTGGTGATGCTCACAGCTGTGCTGGGTGATGCAGACATTAGGGACTATTTTGGGGGAAGCCTATTCAGCAAGACCAGATCCAGCACATTTCTTTTTTCTTTGATCACCTGTCTAAAGTCACAAGCTGAAGACACAGGAAAGAGTGAGGATGGAAGTCAGAGCTTCACTGGCCACTAAGTCTGTAGGTGGTGTTGCGCAATGCAGAAGCAGGGTTAAAGGAGAGAGGAGAAGAGTGGACAATAAGACCCAGAGCTCACGAGTTGTCAGAGGGGACATGCTCCTCAAAGCCCTCACTCTCTCTGACCAGCGCTCGCTCCAGGATCACACGTCCCTCTTTGTAACGCTGACTATCCTCTGTAGCAAACTCGTAGATCCAACCCAGCTTGCTGTTGCAGTTCTTGCAGCTGACATCTCTCACCATGTGCCTGCCAGTAAGCATCACTCTGTCCTGGACTTCGCTGTACTGCAGGTTCACCACCTGTGGCACGGAGACAGAACACAATTTCTGAAGCTCAGAACAAAAATACTAGTATGCTGTAGGCATACAGAGTACACGTCACAGCTGGTGTGTTCACGCTTCATTTCACCGTACCTTATTGAAGAGGAAAGCTCTGCCCGTGGCTCCTGTGAAGCGTGTGGAGATGAGCTCAGAGCGATTAGTCAGGATGGTGTCGCAGTTGGCACACGAGAAGAGGCGTGTTCCTCCAATGTGGTCGAGGAAAATACGTCCCATTGTGCAGTCGTGGAGTTACAGGACTTTCACCTCTACCAACAAGGAGAAGAAGGCAACACATACTAAATAGTCCCAGCTTCTGTTGCTATTTTTTGCATTTCACCTTCATTTGCATCCCTTATTTTACTTTTGTGTGGATTAGAGAACAAAGCCCAGTGAGAAAGTGGCAGATTTTAAGTAAAACATCTTGCTTTGTTTTAGAAATTATTCATTTTAATCTTAAAAAAAAATACTTCTGATCCTTTCAGGTGTTTCATGGATGCAGGGCTCCATGATTTAGCTTAAATGTATAGAATATTCTGATAATTAGAGATCAGATTGACTGTCCTTTTGTTTTAATTTCCAATGTTAATGTTTTGTTACTCTTCTTGTCGGCTAATTTATTAGTATGTCTGTTCGTTTACATATTTTATATTTTGTTTATAAAGGAATGTTATAACAGATCCTATTTTATTTTTTGCTTGTTAGGATATTTTATCAAAGTGAAAGAAGCTCAATGAGTGCAAGTCAGATTTTCCAAACAACATGTGGAATTTTACTAAAAAAAACTGCAAATATTTTATATTTTCTTGTTTTATTATTCCTTTATTTTATCTTATATATATATATATATATATATATATGAGTTACAAAACTTTAAAATGAACCTTAAATATACAAGACTTCTCTCAAATAGCGGAACCCAATAACGAAAATGATAAATAAGCTTAAAAATATTGGAATAAATAAAAAAACGAGTTGGTGTGGAGTCGAAAAAGACAAAAAAAAAAAACATTTAATCATTTTCTAATTTTAAGCTGATTTGTTGCACAGTGGCTAAAATGAGCTGTTGCTACCTGTTCCTGGAGCATTCATTAATTTTTGGACCTTACATTGATTTGTATCAAGAGCTCCGTGTTCTGGCGTGACCACAGAGGGGGCTCTGAACATTGTTTAATATAAATGACACAACTAAAAGCACCGAAGTAACCACTTTTAAATAAGAAGTGTGTATAAATGTAAATAAGACACATGCTGGTTGTTAGACTGACTCCGAATTGAGTCAAAAAGGAAGATAAACAAACGTCGTATTAGCATCTTGGCTAACAGCGACAACAGGCTAAGAGCAAAAGAAAGGAAACAAAAACGTTAATTTCAGGAAAACCCTTTACGAAGCGCCTACCTTTATAAAAAAGGTTTAAACAAATCAGGACAGTTCCTCCAGCCGCGGTGTCACGGACGTTTTAACCGTATTTTAGGAGTAAATCGCTTGTTTTGTCTGTCGTCGTCGTGGCTTTGTTTTCCTTTTTCAGCTGTTCCTGACTGCGCTGTGCTTCCAGCTAGTATCAACATCCGGTTGTGACGTAACAGCCTCCGCTGCAGCATGGCAGCATTCCTTTTGTCATTCACATTTTTGCTCTTAAAGATAATTTAAGCTTGACTTAACTTTACTGATCCCATTGGAACAATGATTGTCTGGCAGCTCCTCCATCCAGCACTTGCATGAAAGATTTGCTGATAACAGAGCAGACGCCCTCTGGCGGCCATAAGGTAAAACTAAATCTTCTGTAGATTTAGACTAGAGGGATTAACTTATAGATTCAATTAAGTTATTAATAAGTAATATAAAATAAATATATCTAGGTACTAGATTTTACCAGCATACATTAGTAGTTTATAATTAAATATGTCAGATATAGTTCTGTTTTGTTCTGGTGTATCAGGAGCCTAGCTCCATGTCTCCTACAGCTGCTGGAAACTCTGAAGATTTTCACAGATTCTTTGTTGATAAAGCATCAGGCATTAGAGCAGCTATTTCTGGTAACTCTGTTGACCCGGTTCCAGTTCCTCCATCACCACCCACCCTGAGCTCCCTCAATACTGTTTCATATTCTGAGCTGAGTAAGCTTGTTGCGAGGCAGAAGCCATCTGGCTCTCCACTTGACGTTCTGCCGCTTCGTCTCTGGAAGGCTGCCTTTCCGTGCCTTGGCCCTTCACTTGGTCAGATTATCAATGGGAGCCTCAGCACAGGTGTGGTCCCAGCTGCTTTGAAAGCAGCAGTTATTCGGCCGACCCTGAAGAAACCTGGTGCTGATGTCTGTGATCGAAAATTACAGGCCTATCTCTACCCTGCCTTTTACATCAAAACTGCTTGAGAAAGTCATTCATCAGCAGCTGGTCTCACATTTAGCTGACTCTGATCTGTTTGAGGTTTTCCAATCAGGGTTCAGGTCTGGCCATAGCACAGAGTCTGCTCTACTGAGGGTCCTAAATGACATCTATCTATCACTAGATCAGGGAACATCAGTGGTGCTTCTGTTGTTAGACCTGACGGCAGCCTTCGACACAGCTGACCATGCAATTCTACTCGATCGCTACCGGAACGATGGGTTGGGATCAAAGGGTAAGCTCTGGATTGGTTTAGATCGTATCTCCACAACAGGACATTCTGTGTTAAACTGGGTGATGTTTTTTCTTCTTGGGAGGGGCTCCGCTGGGGGGTCCCGCAGGGGTCGATCCTTGGTCCTCTTTTGTTTGCCATTTATCTGCTACCTCTGGGGTCAATCTTTTGTAAACATGGCCTATCATTCCATCTCTATGCTGATGATTGCCAGATTTACTCTCCGTTGTGTCAGGAGAAAGGTCACACTATCCAGTCCTTTGTGTCCTGTATTAATGAGGTGAAGTCTTGGCTAATGGCCAACGTTCTGCATCTGAATGAGGGAAAGACAGAGCTCATTGTTTTTCACCCCAACAGCAGGAATGTGGATCGTTATGTTGATCTTGGGCCTCTTTCTCCCTACTCAAAACCAGTTGTTACCAGTTTGGGGGTGAAAATTGATGCAGGACTTAAATTTGATGCTCACATCAACTCTGTGATCCAGTCCAGTTTCTTTCACCTGAGATGCCTTGCAAAAATCAAGCCCATGCTGTCAAGAGCCCACCTGGAGCGGGTACTCCATGCTTTTGTAATTTCTAGGCTTGATTACTGCAGCTCTCTATATGCAGGGTTGTGTCAGTCATCACTGCGTCGCCTACAGGTTGTGCAGAACAGCGCAGCCAGGTTCCTGACTGGGACCAGGAAACGGGACCACATCAGTCCGGTTCTGGCCTCCCTGCACTGGCTTCCGGTTTGCTATCGTTCACACTTCAGACTCCTCGTCTTTGTTTTTAATTTCTTCCAGGGTGGTGCTCCCCCCTATCTGGCCACACTCCTGAACAGACACTCCCCATCACACGCTCTGCGCTCCTCTGACCAAGGCCTGCTCGTTGTCCCTCGTTCTAGGTGTCGTACTCGCGGAGACCGGGCTTTCTCAGTCCTAGCACCGTCACAATGGAACCAGTTGCCATCCTCAGTTAGGCTGTCCCCATCTCTGCCAGTCTTCAAGAGCCGCCTAAAAACACACCTCCTCTGCTTGGCGTTCCCTGAATGTATTTGAGTTAGGCCGTCATTTATGTTGATTTTATCTCACAGTTTTCATTGGTTCAATTTTCCCTTGTTTCACACATTTGTCTTCTACTAGAATGTTTCACCTTTTTTGCAATTTGTAATCTGTAATTTGAATTGCTTTAATTTTCTGATTTATTCACTTTATTTGACTTTGTACTGTACAGTGTTCAGCGCCTTGGGCTTCCTGACAGGGTTGCGGAAGGCGCTTTATAAATAAAGCTTTCATTTGATTTGATTTGATAGTTATTGGTTCAAAGACTAATAAATACCCATCCATCCATTTATTCATTTTCATCTGCTTGTCCAGAGTTAGGTCCTGAGGGCAACAGCCTAAGCAGAGAGGCCCAGACTTAGGCCTGCTGTTCCGGGGGAATCCCAAGGCTTTCCCTGGGAAGCTGAGAAATATAGTCCCTCCAGCGTGTCCTAGGTTTTCCTTTAGGTCTCCTCCCAGTTGGACGTGCCCGGAAAACCTCAACACGAAGGCATCCAGGAGGCATCCCAGTCAGATGCCTGTGCTAGCTCAACTGGCTCCCCTCAGTGTGAAGGAGCAGTGGATCTACTCTGAGCCCCTCCACTTGGGGCAGGACCTCATCCCTGACCTCGAGAAGGCAGGGATGCAGATTTTACATTAAAGCAGTCTACTCTATAGTTTGAGGCAAAAATCATCCAAGCACTCATTATTATTATTATCCCACAACTAACTTTTTTTAACCATTACTTTTTCCTTCCCAAACACATGTCAGCAAATACAACAGCACAAAAAATTGTTGCTTCACCTAGTAAAGCAATTGGAGTTAATTTGGTCTCTTTCCTGCAGACACAAAGTACCAGAAATGAAAAAGCTTTATTTATATATTTATTTTTTACTTTATGCAACATGTCGTGATGGAGTGTACTGTAAATGTTTTGCTTCTTGATAGAAATCTGATAACTTTACAGCGATTCCAAGGGTCAGGCTATCTGCAGTTAATCTAAGGACAAACTCATAAAGCTTATAGTGATCTACTCGTGTCTCCAGACATCTCCAAAAGTTAAATCATTCTATTTCTACTGGATTGCAGCCTGTAATGTATTAAAAACCTATCCATGAATTACATGATTCCTGTCTTTAAATGTGATGGTAATTTTAGATTTTGCTAATCATAAATTTGCTGACATTTTTCGTTTGCCTTAGCATTAAAGCCACTTCTTGAATGCACTGTGATCAGCTGATTATCAGTTCCTGTCCTGTAGCTGAAGAGGTGTACCTAATAAAGCGGACAGAGCATTTATAAAGCCTGTTTCAAAAGCGCCACAAGTACAAATTCAGAGTGGTTCTAAAGGGAAATGTGCTTATTTTCTCTAAACGTTATGTCATCCCAGTGAGATCCTTAGGTTTTCAAGTATCTAGATGTGGCGAAGGCAGCTTGCAGAAGAATTTAAATGTGGATAAAAGACGAAAACAAATCCCAGTGAGTCTGAAAGTAGCCTCAGACTGGTATAAGTACTTTAGAAGCTGCTGATCTACTGGGATTTTCACCCACAACCATCTCTATGGTGCACAGAGAAAGGTCTGAAAGAGTTCATATCTACTGAGTTGATAAAATTGTCTTGTTCATGTCAGAGGTCAGAGGATAACTGACAGACTGGTTCTATGTAATAGAGCAGAACAGCATCTCGTAACCACAACATGATGAACCTTGAAGCAGATGGACTCCAGCAGCAGAAGACCACACCAAGTGTCCCTCTTGTCTTCTAAGAACAGGAAACCGAGGCTATAATTCACACAGGATCACCAAAACTGGACCATAAGAGACTGGATAAACACTTCCTGGTTTGATCAATCTGGATTTCAGCTGCAACATCCAGATAGTCAAGTCAGAATTTGGTGTCACCAACAAGAAATCGTGAATCCATCCACCCTTGTATCAATGCTTCAGGCCACTGCTGTGAGGGAGATGTTCTTGTCCCCCTTTTGACCCCACCTGAGCATCAATGCCGACCATGTCCATCCCTTCATAACCACATGGACCCATCTCCTGATGGCAGCAGGAAAAACGCACCAGGTCACAAAGCTCAGACCATCTCTAACTGGTTTACTGGACATGATGAGTTCACTGGACTCCAACAACCTTCACAATCACCAGATCTCAAGAATCCAAAAGGGTTCAAATGAAGGCAACTGGATTTCTTCGGTTACTTGAAGACATTTCGCTTCTCATTCGAGGAGCTTTGTCAATTCTGAGAGTCAAGTTTATAAACTGTAGCTGTCTATTGTTATTAATCCTACACTTTGGGAATATGAGAGGACATCAAGGAAGCTGGCTGACTACAGAAACCACCTCTGCTTCAACTTGAGATGTCGACAACAACGTCTCCTTCCAAAGAGCTTGAGACTTAAAAGGCACAACAACAGCTGCTAAATGAACGGATTCCAGTCAGAACTGACAGAGCTCCTCGGATGAGAAACGAAACGTCTTCAAGAAACCAAAGAAGTCCAGTTGCCTTCATTTGAACCCTTTGGATTACCAGGACCTGGATGACTGAGAACCGCCACCAGCACCAGATCTCAAGCTTTGTAACAATCCTAACTTATTAAAACACGTTCACTAGCCGATTTCTTCTGAAATGGAGATTGTCCACCAGAATGAGTTGGATCACGGCGATATGAGGGAAAAAACACTTGACGCGCCATTAAATCCCTTTTTGTTCCTTGAAAGGATGGTTATGTGAACTCTTATGTATATGTTGATATTATCTGAAGGCTTTTCAGCATTTTTCAGCATAAATCTTAAAATAAAACCAACCAAACTCTCTGGAATGTTTCTTCTAGAAAGTACATTACACAACATGCATCACTCTGATGGCCATAAACATTTCAACGTTTCTTAACATCTCACCGACGTCAAAACGTGTCTGTTTATTGTACGTCTGTATATTAACTGTGGAGGGACAGATAAGACTGTTTCGGTTACCGTTTATTGTTCTTCAGCAAAGAACACAAACGTTGTTTCATCACCTTTTTCATCAAAGATTTCCCCCTTCCTTATAACACTTTACCGCCACTGGACCCTTTGCGTTCTCCACGCCCTTCTCAGGTGCTTTTACAGTCAGCTGAAGCTCTTTCTCATTGTCTCTCTGAGGCTGAGGGAGGAAAAAAGGGCAGAAGGCAGACACACAACCCCCTCAGTGTGGAGAGACACCTAATATCTCGCAGCATCATGCCCAGATCTACCTTCCTGATTCTGGGAGCTCTTCTAGGACTCGGCACTATCTTCACAGGTGAATGCAAAACGCCAGCAGGGGTTTAGTTGTCGTGCACTGATTTACTTGTTACACGTCAGGATTTTCTGTGCAGAGTAGAGCGGTGAGGTGAGATTAGTGATCAGGTAACTGAATAGCTAACCTGCTTTTTCTAAGGCCTTTGCGTGCTTGTTCACACTCATGTTGTATGGGAACACATTAACCAAATGGAACTAGATTAGACAGAGTTTAAACTTTTACCAGTTTTTTATTATGTGACTTTTGCTGATGTGAATAGTTTAGAGGAAGTTTACAACGTCTCTTTGGATTAAATGAGAAGGTCTTGAAGAAGGTTTGATCCCTACAAAAATGTGCATTTTAATTTGCATTTTATTATTAACCTTTTGATTAAAACGTTTCACTTGTTGATTTAACCTCGTCCAATCTTTTATAGACTGCATGAAATTTGTGCAAGAAAACAGACCGACAGCAGATAAAACGGTACTGAAATTAAAACCTTTACCAACTTGTCCCATGAATGGGTCTCTGTGAGTTTATTTTAATTTTTATTATTTGCAGACAGAAAGTGACATGCTAACGCTCTGCTCACCGATACCTCCTCCATTGACTTCATCCCCAGGTAAAGAGCATGCCACTCTAATCTGAGGGATTACTTTGTTTTTCATCCATCCTGCTGTTGTCTAATAATGACTATTACTGATATTTGATGTATTTTCTCAGCATCAGTTCATACTCTCACTCCTGCTGATATTGGGGGACTTTACACACTGGGACTGCCTCTCGCACACAGGTACGATTACAAGATTACATTCGCTAGCATCTTATTTTTTATTAAATGCACTTTTATTAGCTGGACTATTTATATGTGGCATTACAGTATAATGAAATACTTGAGGGGAATTAAACAACAACAACACCTAGGGAATTGCACCCTAAGAATTAACAAGACGTGATAAGTGATGGAAGGCAAAGACAGTCGCACGACAAAATTAGCGACATTACCTGCATGACAAGAAGAGGGGGCGTGCCCTTTAGTTAACAGATCACTGCTGAACATCACTGGCCCTTTAAAGTCGTACAGCCAGCTGGTAATTGGTTGCCAACGCTGACTGACAACACCTTCCATTAATCAGGACAGTAAATACCCCCACTACATAAAGTTAGATTACAATCTGCAGTTGACTATTGGATGAAGTATCAAATGATCTATTTAGATATGATGTGGATAACATATCATTTATTTAGAATCTAGAAATGCCCTGGAATGATTGATGAATCAGTGAATATAAATAAATTAACGTTGGAAATATTTGTATAATATGTTACAGACCTAATAAAGATTATTTAAGACAGGCATTATTTTTTATTTTTAGCTAAAAACACCAGGAAACCCGCTGTGCAGCTCATCAAACAAATAAGTGCATCAAGTGTTTCCCTGTAAACACAGAAAACTCATTGTTCATGTTCCTTTTACCAAAGTGTACAAATTTTGGTTTAATAACCTTGTCCATCCATCCGTCCGTCCATACGTCCATCCGTCCATCTGTCCATCCATCCATCCATCCATCCATCCATCCATTTTCAGCCACTTATCCGGAGTCAGGTCGCAGGGGCAGCAGCCTAAGCCGAGAGGCCTTGACTTCCCTCTCCCTAGCTAAATGACCCAGCTCCTCCGGGGGAATCCTAAGGCGTTCCCAGACAAGCTGAGAGACAGTCCCTCCAGCATGTCCTGGGTCTTCCCTTGGGTCTCCCCCCAGTTGGAGAAAACTCATTTAGGCTGCTTGTATCCATGATTTTGTTCTTTCGGTCACTACCCAAAGCTCGTGACTATAGGTGAGGGTAGGAACGAAAATTGACCGGTAAACGAGAGCTTTGCCTTCTGGCTCAGCTTTTTCTTCACTACGACAGATCGGTACAACGCCTGCATCACCGCAAATGCAGCACCAATCCACTTATCGATCTCATGCTCCACTCTTCCCTCACCCATGAACAAGACCCTGAGATACTTAAATTCCTCCACTTGAGGCAGGACCTCGTCACTGATCTGGAGATGGCAGACTACAGTTTTGGATTTAGAGGAGTTGATTCTCATCCCAGCTGCTTCACACTTGGCTGTGAACCTCTTGAGCTGGAGATCACTGTTTTTTGAAGCCAACAGAACCATATCATCAGCAAAAAGCAGAGACCTGATCCTTGGCTGTGCTTAGAAATCCTGTCCATTAAAGTTATGAACAGAATTGGTGATAAAGAGCAGCCTTGGCAGAGTCCAACTCTCACCGAAAACGAGCTCAGCTCACTGTGACCAGAGCAAGCTCTGACACCGGTCATACAGGGACCCAACAGCCCGTACCAGAGGGTCTGGTGACCCATACTCCAGGAGTACCCGCCATAGGTCCCCCTGAGGGACCTTGTGTAGACACCAAATAAAATATATTGTATTTTTCACATTCATCAATCAGTGGCTTAAAGGTGCAACATGTGAGAATGAATGACATCCTGTGGTCAAATGTTGGTACTGCAGCCCATTTTTCTAAACAACCCACTGTGCAAAGACTGCGGAACTCAGAGAAGTCTGTCATATGTCACCATTAGCGTAGCCAGAAACTCATTTGTGGGTGGGCCTAAGAAAAAGTAAGTGGGCCCAATAAATGCAATTGAAAACAAGTATATTTTGCGTGTGTGTGTGTGTGTGTGTGTGTCCTTCGCATGTGCCCTAGCTTCATAATAATAACGCGCCGAGCTTCAGCGCTCTGGCCTGCGCACGCTGTCAATAGCAAGATATGTTCCGTATTTGATCATTTTTAACGATGATGGAGAAATCTGAAGGTGGTGAGTCATTCTGGCAGATTGTAATTAACACCCTGTCTCATGCAGGTGTTCTGATGTTGTAAACCTCACACACAGTGGAGGTTTGAGAGATTGTGGATATAACAAAATAAACCAAGAAATGATTCCCATCTGAGCATTTTAGCATTATTATATTATTATATTAGCACGCTGACTGTGGGACAGCATTCTAAACGTGTCAGGCTGTTAACAGCGCGCTGAAGATCTGAAGTTCAGAGTGTGTCTGTCAGAGGTCAGACGCGTTCCAGTGGAACCACGGCTCACGGGTGCACATGTGAGCACATCTGGGCTGGGCAGAAGTAATTTTACAACATTAGTTTAAATAGCGCCAATAACGAGACACGGTGACTGGAGCGGCTCATGGAGCTGTGCCGCACACACACACACACACAGACAAACACACACACACACACACACACACACACACACACACACACACACACACACACACACACACACAGATTCAATAAGCGCACGCTGCGCAAACTCCGTCTTTGCGCTGCGCCACGCCGTCAGACTGAAGGCAAAAATGAGCGCTGCCTCCTCCGTGATAAAAAACCTTTAAGAGGTTTTATAACAACATTTTTCATTCAAGGTCAAATTAAGATATTAGCTTCTATTTTGGGATGACATATATGTATATATATAGATATACATATGTATATCTATCTATATCTATCTATATCTATATCTATCTATCTATCTATATATATATATATATATATATATATATATAGCCATGCCCTGATGTGGGGGCTGGGAGGGGGGTGTCGACATGGTCGGGACATAGAAGGGGGTGCACAGCTAAATAAGTTTGGGAACCGCTGATGCAAGCTTATAAGTAGATTAATATTTCATATCTGGTGTTAGCACTCTTGGGTGTTTTATGGTGGTAAGCACTTACTACACTTATTACGGTAGTATGTGTTCGTTACTACAGGAAGTTCAGTTTTCCGTCTTGCTGTTAGCTTGCTGTCACAGTTCTGAACGACTCATTAAAGGAAGTGAAACGCCAATATTAACTTAATATTTGCTTCACTCATACATTTAACTGTGATATCGAGTAGATGGTATAAAGTAGCTTGAGATTTTTTTTTAGAGCCAAACATTTACAGTTAGCATTGTTAGCTCAACTGTATCCTTTAGCCTTCTTCACCTAGAGTAAAACAAAAAGATGCCGCAACTTATTTGGGGTATAAGAAACAAAATCTGGGTTGCTCCTGTCCACTGGTTTTATTTCTTTAAACAATTCTGGAGCTTTTTGCCTGCCGGTGTTGAATAGCAAATGATGACGCGGCAGCGTTAGCTCGGTGCAGACTCTGCAACCTCATGGGCTTATAGATTGTAAACAGGAACTACGTTCCTCTTTGGCCATGATTAAAGGAGAAAACCTGACAATCCCCCAGACAGCTGAGAAGAAAATCTATTTATATAACCTTCCTTCCAACATGATTGAGACAGTAGACTTATATTTTGCTGTAGAATTCTTACATATTGCTCCTTTAAAGGAAAGTATGAACAGACAGTGCTGCTATAAAAACACAGAGAAGAGCTGCTTTGAGAAGCCAGATTTACAAGTAGAGAGTTCATGCAAATAAAAACATTCTTTCTCAGGTTTGTCAATTATTTCAAATTCAGGTGTATGAAAGTCATAATACAAACAGTAAGGTTTATATTTTGATGCATCCTACAGAGGTATGTTCTTGTTCTGCCATCTGACCTTTTGAAACACCATCCCATGATGGAGAAGAGGTTGTTTTGGTGGATCACTGAGAAGAAATGACAAAATGGATGCATTCTGGATAGAACTGAAATATTATGTTAAATGAAACAGTTAAATTTTCTTTTTTCTTCTTCTTTTTTTCTTGTGCAACGTGGTATTGTATTAGGAATGAAGTATCTCGAGTCCTCACTAGACTAGCAGGTAAGATGATCGCTCCAAATCTGTTGTGTGTTGTTGAGATAATCCTACATTTTTAACAGAATAAAAATTAAACATCAAGGCTTCAATAAATATTTTTAATTAACATTTTAAGCAGCATTACTCTTTCTTTTTTGTTTTTCAAGTATTTGCAGCAATCGACCGATGTCTGATTAGACTTTTTGTGGCCTTAGATTAAAACAAAATTAGGGACCTTTTAGATTGAATAACTCAATTTATAATTTCAAGGTTTGCACAACAGGTCAGATCAAGGGCAGACTGTATACCAGTGAATGCCAGATTAGAACATGCGTTGTAGAAAAGCCACAGAAGAACAGTTGTGTAGTTTTATTGAGCTTATCTGTTGACGTTAAGATAAAATAGGCATAAAAACAAGTCACTGACCTTCATTCATGACAATAATAATATCCAGCAGCTACAACCCTGTAATGATTTATGTATTAAGCATGACATTAAAGAGATTTCTGTTTGAATAGAGTTAATCTCCATGTTTAATCCTGAGCTGATCACTCAGCATGTGGATCAGACCTTACTGCAAACCAGGTAACACACACACACACACACACACACACACACACACACACACACACACGTGCATGCACGCACGCACAAAATATTTACTGAACATAAGAGTAAATTGGGGTGTAATTTCTCACGTGTGAGAGTTGTGTTGCAGGAGTTTATTACAGGAGGTTGAGGATCTGTGTGTATCACTCAATCAGGTATCATCTCATTTTACAAGACTGTTCTCCTGAATTTTAAGCGTTTTATTCCCAAAACTCGTGTTAATTAACGTTTTTAACTAATTCATCTAATTTTAACATACTTTATCAGTTGATATTAGTAATGTTATGTCCTGTCAGGTGACGGATTGGAAGATTGTGTTTCTGTTTGTGCCAGCAGATCTGGTTTGCACCTGTTCACCACAGGTACATTTTCTTTTATATATATATATATATATATATATATATATATATATATATATATATATATATATATATATATATATATATATATGTATGTATGAGAATAAATGAGTTTAAGTATGAAACTTAAAATGTTTTTCTTTCTATTGCAGGTAGATGTGAATGTCAAAACTGTAGTGCAGGAAGTAGATGAAGCGCTACAGATGCTGCAGAATCGGGTATTTAATTCACTTTGAAATTAACTTTTTTTTCTCCCACAAACAAAATTAAAATAAGATAAAATAACGTTATGTTGGGTTGTGTTTATTTACAGTTGCATCGCACTTTAGTTCATGTAGTAGTCTGGAGTGAACATTATACAGAAGAAAAGTGAGTAATTATCAATCTGATGCTCTTTTAATCCAGGTTAATCCAGCATGAAGCCTGTAGGTTTATTAATCAGGTGTCAAGTGTGATAAAAACTTGGTTGGTTTTCTGTTTTATCACAGATGTAATTGTAGAGATGAACTTGTAAGTCAACGCTTGCAAAAAGCAATTTTACTGAAGGTGATGCAGGTAAAACAACAACAACAATTGGTTCTGTGTTTGCAGTTTGCAGCCATATTTTGCTGCAGCTCTGACTCTGACTCTGATTTGACCTGTCTTCAGGACTTTCTAAATCAAAGTTTAAAAGCATCATCATGGTACAACGGTGTAGACTTCAGTGTTGTGCTGCAGTCTTCTCCTGCGTTCCTCAAAACCAACTCAGAGTCAGTAAGTAAAGAGGAATCAAGAGTCCGTGATATAAACTGGAAGCTATTTTGTGATGTTCCACGAAAGATTATTAGCTAATCTGTCATTTCTTAACAGGAAAACACTTGGTCAGAGCTCAACCGGCTAGCTATTCAACTGTGGACAAACCTGGTAAGTTCTTATAAATAAAACACATGGATGACAATTTCAAGTGAGTGTGATGAAAGTGTCATGATGTAGATTATGGGGCTGAAAAGGCTATCAAACCAATCTAAAGCGAGATGGAACATCGATTACAGTTCATCTCACAGATTAGATAAGATATGTAAAGATTAAACTCAGGGTTGTTTCTCATTGGCTCTTTGGCGTGTGATTGTGTAATCAGTCACTGGTTGAAGGTGTGTTCAGTTTTAACTTTTCATTCCTTCAGCTCCAACCAGCATCAGGCCCGACTGTGGGTGTGGACATGATCATCCCATGTCCCACACGGGTGAGACATGTTTCTACTCTCAAACTCCTGACCTTTCAACTCTTAACATCTGAAACAAAAAGATGAAATATCCGTTAATATCCCTCCAGGAGCATCCTTTTCTACGAACACAGATGAATAGTAAAGAAGAGACTCTGTCTCTGAGGACGGCCTCTAAACCAGCAGATCCTGTAAGAACTTCTCAGAGTTTGGTTCACAGAGTTTCTGATGAGGAATATTAGATTAAACTCCATCTTTTCAGGTCATGGGCACAGAGGTGCTTTGCACAGAGCGCAGTCCATCTTCCAGCACACCTAAGTCAGGTAAAAACATCTGCAAGCATGAAATGGTTGAGTTTAATATGAAATAAAACTGCACTTTCTTCTGTGTAGTTCATGAGCTCAGACCTGCAGATATTAAAGTGGTGGCAGCCGTGGGTGACTCGCTCACAGTGAGTCATTTTTTTTCTTTTCTTTCTTGCTAATAGTCTCATTTTATTACTTTTATATACAAAAAAACACACATCTAACACGTTTGAGCACGTTGTGATCGTATTTCACAAGTTTCATTCTCATATTATCTATTCACAGGCAGCCAATGGTGTGGGTGCAACAAACGACAATCTACTGTTAGTGATTAATGAGTACAGAGGACTGTCATGGAGGTGAGTTTACTTTGTATTTGGTGTAATGATAAAAAAACTCATCTGTTTCTTTCATTTTAAGCATTGGAGGTGATGAAAATGTTACCACGGTGACGACTCTACCAAGTATGTTTGATTCCTCTGAATTCTTTAATAGTTTTTATGATTTTCACTACTATATAGTACTTGTGGTGGTGGTTGGAGCAAATGTAATAAAGGTGTTATTTATTGTTATAAAGCTGCCACCTAGGGGAATTTTTCCTCCAGAGACTCTAAAGTTCCAGAACCCTAAAATACAACAATCTGTTGTTGTTGTTGTTGACATTAGGACCCAAAGGCAGGAGGGTGTAGAACATGGGTGGGGAACCCTGGTCCATCAAGGGCTGCTATCCAGCATATTTTAGTTTCAACCCTGCTTCAACACACCTGGTTTCAATCAGCAGGTGATTAACAGGCTTCTGCAGAGCCTGAGGAGATGCTGAACAGGTGAATCCGACACTGAATCAGACGTGTTGGAGCAAAGACATGCAGGATACCGGCCCTCGAGGACCAGGGTTCGACACGCCTGGTGTGGAGAGATCCAGGAAGCAGCCAGGTGAGGTAAACAAAAAAAAAAAGTCTTTATTATCCAAACTCAGAGCAGGAGCAGGAAGTACATGAATGACAACGCACAAGAAACCAACGGGAAATGGAAACTCAGCTGGGTTTAAATAGAACTGAGGTGTGAGAGGAGACAAGGGGAAACAGGTATGATGGTTTCTGACAGGCGTACCTGATACTAAGTAGGGAATGAACACAAAGTATCTAAAGACAAAAGCTAACTGATGAATAAACTAAGAACAGGAGAAAAGACTACTCTAAACAAAAGAAATAAACAACGGCCAAGGAAACACAGAGGTCAAAGGTCATGGATAGAAAAGGAGGCTAAACAAACAGGGACCTGAAATACGAAAAGCTTCACAAAAATAAGGGGAAAACTAATGAGAAATAAAACTAAGAGGCTGGGGATTGGACTAAATGAAGAAGGACCAGGGACACATAAGGAGAAAGGGACAAAACATGAGAGGGGCCCGGGCCAGAAACACAAGGGCGCATGGGAGGGGGTAGAAAACATGGAAGGGACTAAGGAAAAAAGGACACAGCTCCTGTTTCAATTCTAAAACCTTGCTTGGTTTAAACATAGACCCAAAAGTATTAGTTTTATCAGCCTTGTGTCATTTCTTCTGATATTTCATTGGATTCTCTAAGTTTTTAAGTAACATTTCATCTTCTACATGACAATTATCCTTGAAACCCCTCAAAATTTTTGTGAAGCAGTCCCAAACGGTGAAAAACCTCTCCTTGTTGCTTAAGAAATCCTTTTTACATTCATGTTATGAGAATGTTACAAAATAAAAGAATAAAAATGGTCAACATTGCATTCATGCATTTATTTGGATAAAGGATGATTTTGATACCTATCAACAATAAAATGTTTTTGTTTTTGCAGACATCCTTAAGGAATTTAACCCTTCACTGACTGGATTCTCAAAAGGAGTCGGTAACCAGAACAGCCCGGCAGCTTCTCTTAATCAAGCTGTGGCAGGAGCGAGGAGTGGGTCAGTCAGCCACCAACCCCCAAAAAAATCTTATTTCAACTTTTAAATCAAATGTCTCAAAAGATTTGGTCTCAGTTTGTCACTGAAGATGAACTCAGTTCTCCCCTGCAGTGATATGGTGCGGCAGGTACGCGCTCTAGTGGACAAGATGAAAAGGGACTCGGTAAGGTGGAGAAAAACAAAAATGCATCATCCCAGGTAAACTTGATCTTTAGTAATAGCTGGACATGTCTTTTCTATTAGAGTATTGACTTCCACAACGACTGGAAAGTGATCACCATGTTTATTGGTGGAAATGACATCTGTGACTTCTGCACGGACAGCGTGAGCACTTACCTCCTCCATAAATGAAACACTTTTGAGTTTTTATTTAATGGTACAAACTGCCACAATCGTATATTGTGAGACATATTTTTGTCCTACAGATCTCCTTTTCACCCAGGAATGTTGTCAGTCAAATCCAACAAGCTCTGGACATCCTCCATAGTGAAGTACGCTCCCAACTTTGTCACATTAGCTTAAAACATGATGCAAATATCTGGGAGCCAAATAAGTGTTGTGTATCCTGCAGGTGCCTCGCGCTGTTGTCAACCTGGTGGAGCTGTTAAGTATTACACCACTGCGTGATCTGCACAAAGATAAATCCCTAGGGTGCCCCACCTGGTTTGTTGAGTGAGTCCTTTTGGGTTATAGATTGTGCAAATTAGTTACCTAAAAGCCAAAGAGAAACAAATCATCATCAGCAACATATAAATGTTAAAGTAATGCTAACTACAGAAGAAAACTAGCCTTGTGCTTTTAGCACCCCCTAGTGTGAGTGAAACTCTCCTCCTTGCTATGCATTTGTCTTTGGGTGTTTCTCAATGCCAAGGAACCTCGCCTTGATGTCTTGGTCCCACCCCGGTTGCCTAGGAGATACGTCATCAGGAACTGCCTAGGTGTGTTCCCATGTTCATGTTCTACCGAGGCGTCTGTTCTCCATTTGTTAGCCGTTTAGCTAGCTGAGCAAGGATACATGGGAGGTGTCTTGTAACCTAGCCTTGGTCAAACATTTCCCAGCAGTATTTTCAAAAGGATGGCCTTGATGTCTTGGTCCCGTCCCGGTCCCGCCCCAGTTGCCTAGGAGATGCCTAGGAACCGTTCCCTGGGCTGCCACCTTACCGTGGTGGAGGGGTTTGAGTGTCTCACTGATCCTAGGAGCTAAGTTGTTTGAGGCTTTCTGCCTCTGGTAGGGTCACCCATGGCAAACAGGTCCTAGGTGAGGGATAAGACGAAGAGCAGCCTGAAGACCTCTTATGATGAATTATATAAATGGAAACCATGTTCCCTCACCCAGACGTGGGTCACCGGGGCCCCCCTCTGGAGCCAGGCCTGGAGGTGGGGCACGTTGGCGAGCACCTGGTGGCCAGGCTTTCACCCATGGAGCCCGGCCGGGCACAGCCCCAAGAGGAAACGTGGGTCCCCCTTCCCATGGGCTCACCCATCGTGGAAGGGGCCAAAGGTGTCGGGTGCAGTGTGTGACGGGTGGTAGTCGAGGGCGGGGACCTTGGCGGTCTGATCCTCAGCTACAGAAGCTGGCTCTTGGCACATGGAATGTCACCTCTCTGGTGGGGAAGGAGCCTGAGTTTGTGTGTGAGGTTGAGAGGTTCCGACTAGATACAGTCGGACTCACCTCAATGCATGACTCTGGCTCTGGAACCAGTTTCCTTGAGAGGGGTTGGACTTTCTGCCACTCTGGAGTTGCTCCCACTGAGAGGCGCCGAGCACGGGTGGGCATACTAGTTGCCCCCTATCTTGGTGCCTGTACGTTGGGGTTTACCCCAGTGAATGAGAGGGTAGCCTCCCTCCGCCTTTGTTTGGGGGGATGGGTTCTGACTGTGGTCTGTGCTTATACACCAAACTACAGTTCAGACTACCCTCCCTTTTTGGAGACCTTGGAGGGGGTGCTGGAAAGCGCTCCTTCTGGTGACTCCCTCGTTCTGCTGGGGGACTTTAACGCTCACGTGGGCAATGACAGTGAGACCTGGAGCGGTGTGGTTGGGAGGAATGGCCCCTCTGATCTGAATTCGAGTGGTGTTTTGTTATTGGACTTATGTGCCAGTCATGGATTGTCCATAATGTGCTCTTGGCACCAGGATACCTTAGGCCGTAGCTCGATGATCGACTTTGTTGTTATTTCATCTGACCTGTGGCCGCATGTCTTGGGCACTCGGGTGAACCGACCACTACCTGGTGGTGATTTGGCTCAGATGGTGGGGGAGGATGCCAGTCAGACCAGGCAGGCCCATACGTATTGCGAGGGTCTGCTGGGAACGTCTGGCAGAGTCTCCTGTCAGAAGGAGTTTCAATTCCCACCTCCGACAGAACTTCCAAAATGGTCTGGGGGAGGCGGGGGACATTGAGTCTGAATGGACCCTTTTCCATGCCTCCATTGTTGAGGCGGCCGACCAGAGCTGTGGTCGCAGGATCGTTGGTGCCTGTCGTGGTGGCAACCCCCAAACCTGCTGGTGGACACTGGCGGTTAGGGATGCTGTCAAGCTGAAGAAAGAGTCCTATCAGGTCTTTTTTGGCCTGTGGAACTCCAGAGGCAGCTGACGGGTACCGGCAGTCCAAGCGGAGCGCGGCTCGGGTGGTCGCCAAGGCAAAGGACCATGGAGCAAGACTTCCGTATGGCTTCGAGGAGATTCTGGTCCACCATCCTGCGCCCCGGGGGGGGGGGGGGGGGGGGGGGGGGGGGACTACCAACGCCATCTATAGTGGAGGCAGTGTGCTGCTGACCTCTACTCAGGATGTTGTGGATCGGTGGGCAGAATACTTTGAAGACCTCCTCAATCCCACCGACACGTCTTCCAGTGAGGAAGCAGAGTCTGGGGACTTTGGGTTGGTCTTTCAAATCTGTGGTGCTGAGGTCGCTGAGGTGGTTAAAAAGCTCCTCTGTGGCAAGGCTCCAGGGGTGGATGAGATCCGCCCGGAGTTCCTTAAGGCTCTGGATGTTGTGGGGCTGTGTTGGCTGACGCGGCTCTGCAATATCACGTGGACATCGGGGGCAGTCCCACTAGACTGGCAGACCGGGGTGGTGGTCCCCTTATTTAAAAAGGGGGGCCGCAGGGTGTGTTCCAACTACAGGGGGATCACACTCCTGAGCTTTCCTGGTAAAGTCTATTCAAGGGTTCTGGAGAGGAGAGTCCGTCAGATTGTTGAACCTCAGATTCAGGAGGAGCAATGTGGTTTTCATCCTGGCCGTGGAACACTGGACCAGCTCTATACCCTTAGGGGGATCCTGGAGATTGCGTGGGAATTTGCTCAACCAGTATACATGTGTTTTGTGGATTTGGAGAAGGCGTTTGACCGCGTCCCTCGGGGGGCCCTGTGGGGGGGGTACTCCAGGAGTACAGGGTACCAGGCCCTCTGATATGGGCTGTTAGGTCCCCGTATGACCAGTGTCAGAGCTTGGTCCGCATTGCCGGCAGTAAGTCGGGCTCGTTCCCAGTGAGAGTTGGACTTCGCCAAGGCTGCCCTTTGTCACGATTCTGTTCATAACTTTTATGGACAGGATATCTAGGCGCAGCCAAGGTGTGGAGGGCATCCGTTTTGGTGGCCTGAGGATCAGGTCTCTGCTTTTTGCAGATGATGTGGTCCTGTTGGCTTCATCAGAACATGATCTTCAGCTTTCGCTGGAGCGGTGCGCAGCTGAGTGTGAAGCAGCTGGGATGAGAATCAGCTCCTCTAAATCTGAGACTATGTTCTTGATTCGTAAAAGGGTAGAATGCCTTCTCTGGGTTAGGGATGAGGTCCTGCCCCAAGTGGAGGAGTTTAAGTATCTCGGGGTCTTGTTCATGAGTGAGGGAAAACTGGAGCATGAGATCGATAGGCCGATTGGTGCTGCATCTGCAGTGATGCGGTCATTGTACCGGTCTGTCGTGGTGAAGAGAGAGCTGAGTCAGAAGGCGAAGCTCTCGATTTACCGGTCGATCTACGTTCCTACCCTCACCTATGATCATGAGCTTTGGGTAGTGACCGAAAGAATGAGATTGCGGATACAAGCGGCCAAAATGAGTTTTCTCTGAAGAGTGGCTGGGCTCTCCCTTAGAGATAGAGTGAGAAGCTCGGTCATTCAGGAGGGGCTCAGAGTAGACCCGCTGCTCCTCCACATTGAGAGGAGCCAGTTAAGGTGGCTCGGGCATCTGGTCAGGATGCCTCCTGCACACCTCCCTGGTGAGGTTTTCGAGGCACTTTCAACCGGGAGGAGACCTAAAGCTAGACCCAGGACATGGTGGAGGGACTATGTCTCTCACCTGGCCAGGGAATGCCTTGGGATTACCCCGGAGGAGCTGGCCCAAGTGGCTGGGGAGAGGGAAGTCTGGGCCTCTAGCCTTAGGCTACTGCCCCCGCGTCCCGACTCCGGATAAGGGGATGAAAATGGATGGATGGATGGATGGATGGATGGATGGATGGATGGATGGATGGATGGGCGGATCAGAAACCAGCAAGTACTTTCGAGGCAAATTTCATGTTTAAATGTAAATCAACTAACTGTCGCTATCGGGCTGATATCTGAAATATTTTTTTTAGATCCAAAGAAGGTTGCTATGGTTGGTTAGATGCTAGTGGTTTCAGCTTTGGTGGCTAGCAGGTAGTAACTTGCTTACATATTTCATTTAACAAATGTATACACAATTTAAAAAGTAAAAGGCTTGTTATATATTTATATTGAAACTTATGTGTATAAAATATAACGTTATCTCCCGTATTATGTGACGTTATGTGACCGCGGCTTAGCAAGTCTGTTCCATATAACCGTTTTCTTTGACCAAGGAAGGACATTGTCTTAAGCAAGGCGCCTAGCCTCACAATACATCGCCTTGACATTGAGAAACACCCTTCTTCTACTCAGGCTTTATTAGTGTCTACAGGAGCGGTTCATCACTAAATCAAACATATCAGCTGCTTTCATAAAAGATGCATGAAATATGCTGAAATCAGAGTCCAGCGCAAGGCATGTCTATTTCACTTTACAAAGTCCAACAGGGTCCAGACCACTCTGAAGTTGCAAGTGTGGTTTTTCTGGCCACAGGGGTCTGAGTGACAATTCATTAACCTTGTAAAGGGTCATTTTAGCACATACTGGCTGAAGAAAATTATTTAAAAAATATGAAAAAGTTGCATGGTGTGCCTTTAACTATTGAGCTGAGCTACTACTAATGTTAGCCTGTGCTAATGTCTTTCTTGGACAAGAGGAAAACAAAATTAATGTTGGCACACTCGCTTTCCAGGATGTGGTGGGATGCTTACTCTCCCCCCCCCCCCCCCCCCCCCCACCCCCCCCCACCCACACACACACACACAGCTTCAGGCATTGTCACAGAGCCAGCAGGGTAACCAGCTAATCAACATGCCACTTTCATATTCCTGTCCTGAAATAATTGCAGATCTAATTTATGGGGAATAGGAATTTATCTGGCCTCCTGGGTCATTGTGAGCCCCAACAGTTTCATATGCTCTAAAGCAGGGATTCTGAACTGCAGGCCTGGAGGGCCAGTATCCAGCACGTTTTAGTTTTAACTCCTGATTTCAATCAGCAGGTAATTAATAGGCTTCTGATGAGCTGCTGCACAGGCGATTCAGTGACTCAATCAAGTGTGTTTGAGCAGAGGAACAACTAAAACATGCTGGAAAACGGCTCTCCAAGACGCCCCTGCTCTAAAGGCTCAAAGAACAGTTTCCAATTGTAAAAAAAATAAACATTCTACTGATCTTTTATTGGATTTGATTTCCAGAATAGTTTGTCCCTGTGTGGTGAAGCCCAAAGACGGAACTTCTGAACTGCAGAGGTTAATCGACTTCAACAGAGCGTATCAGGTGCAAATCAAACATTTCTTGCCATTTTTTTAAATGAAGAAGCATCTTTAGGAGAATTCTGAATCTTTTTTTTTTACCCGAAACTACAAAGTTCTTCAATGTTTAGTGCTTTTCAAAAAAATGTCTATTATTCACACACTGCTGCGGTATCTTATGGTTGGGGCCATTTATTTATTCATTTCAGTTTGCTATGAGAGAGCTTGTTGATTCTGGACGATACGACACACACGACAACTTCTCAGTGATTCTGCAGCCTTTCTTCAGAGAGGTTTTCCTTCCCAGATTAGAGGTAAGAACAGACAGTTATGGCACATAAACCCTTTTATGTTTTAATGAATCTTTTCCTGTTTCTTTATTATTTGAAAAGGATGGCCGACCTGATCGCTCCTACTTTTCACCAGATTGTTTCCACCTCAGTCAGAAAGCTCACACACTCATGGCTCGCTCGCTGTGGAACAACATGGTAAAGTGAGCTACCAGAAAACATAAGTTACATGTTGTATTTCGCCCACATAGACCTACTCTTACCATCTCTTAGTTGGAGCCAGTGGGCAATAAGACGTTCAGAGAAGACTTTACATCAGGCATTGATTTGAAGTGCCCCTCTCAGGTGAGAAACACATGAGGAACTTTCTTTAAACAGTTTTAAAAGACATTTATTAATTTTACTTTTTGGTGGGTTTTCCTACTAAAGACAAACCCTTTCTTGAGAACAGCCCTCAACAGCAACTACACCTTCCCAGGTCCTCCACCCAGTCCTCCTCCAGTTACGGTAAGTCTAATTTACCTCACTTCATTTTTAATGTTAGCTCTAAGAAGCTGTTATCAGATAAAACATGTTATTTTTATAGAACTGGGGCAGCGACTTCTCCTGTGTGAACACAGCTCCATCCAACTCTGTGCCCACTTCAGGTACGCAACACTATTATTAACTGAGGTGGGTTTAGGACAGGAAATATGCTCATTTTGGGCCTTTGTTAGTTCACAGACTACATCCAGCAGATATCAAGATAGTGGCAGCTTTAGGAGACTCTATAACGGTATGTGAACGTTGACATAAAGCAGGTTTTTCCAACTTCTTGCTCTGGTTTATATTCAAGTTGACAATAATAAATTGGGAAGGTTAAGGCAGTTTAGCCATCCAGATATTTACAATAAGGACACTGAGTTCCCACAGCAAGATAATGCAAGTGTGTGTGTGTATATATCTATATATCTATAGATATCGATATCATTTAGAAGACTATTATGGGTTTGTTTCATACTAGCAAGCTAACTGAACAGGAATGAAGTCCAAATGAATTGGCTTGTAGTAAAATGAATGCACTAGAAGTTAAAACAGAAAAACATATTCCCTGAACACTTAGGTGTGACCACTACTTTTGTGCTCCCAGGCTGGTTTTGGTGCAAAAGCACAAAATTTACTCCAGCTAAAAAATGAATACAGGGGAGTGTCCTGGAGGTGAGATGCATCACACTAATCTGTAATGAAATCTGTTTTGTTGTGAACATTCTCTTACTTTCTGTTTTTTTTAAATATTATTATTATTGTCTAAACCCAAGCATTGGAGGAGATGACTCTCTTGAGACTGTCACAACACTTCCCAGTAAGTGTAATGCTCTTCATCACCACTAGATGGCCCTCGGAGTCTAAACAAATCCTTGGGTCATTTGTGCAGAAACACATTACTTTTTGTTTTATACATCAGATATCCTCAGGAAGTTCAACCCGGACATCAAAGGGGTGTCAAAGGGAATTGGGAAAAGGCAGACGGGCTTCAACATGGCGGTGTCTGGGGCTAAGATGGCGTGAGCTTTACCACACTCTTCTTATCAGCTACTGCACCATTAATGCCCTCATAAACACTGATTACTTATGTTTCTAATCTGATACAGAGAAATCCCACAGCAGATCCACAATCTGATTATCACCATGAAGAACGACTCTGTGAGTGTTTAAGTGATTTGGTTAAAATCCTTCTGCTGAATCCTGTAATGATCTGATTTGTTTTTGGATGTAAAATTAATAGACGGTGAATTTTCAAAACGACTGGAAGCTTGTGACTCTTTTCATTGGAGGCAATGACCTGTGTCAGTACTGCAATGACCGGGTGAGTTGGTTAGGGATCCGGGGGTGCACCGGTCCGGTGTTTAGCCATCTCTGGGTGTTTGGTGATCCCCTGTCTAATGATATCACTGGATATCAGCAGAATAATGACGCTTTGTAAGCAGCCCTCCCCTTAGAGCTTCATTGTGTCAGATTGAGATGAGAGCCTCTGTCTGTCTGAGTGAGGGGACCACAGAGACGGGCCTTGTTCGCTACAAGGCATAAACATCCTGTGTCTCTTCTGCTCGCCCTCCTCCGTTTTTCATTTTAACATCTTGTTTTGCTTTCTCCCTCCATTAGGATCCTCGTACTTCATTGACATTGACGGCCCTTCTCACCGTTTGTGTCCTCTGAAGCAGAACATCAGAAAGTGGCATCAAATAACGATGTGGCTTTGTGATGGCAGCTGTTAGATATTATTTGTGTCTTTTGAGTAGAAACCCTGAAGTGATTTGTGATTAAATCCAGTCTCACTCACTGTATTATGCACCTTTTCTCAAAGGGGTTTAAAAAGGTGCGTGTTAACGTATGCATAAATAATTTGTCTAAATTTTGCAGGTTACTCTGTCACCTCAGAACTACAGCCATCATATGAGGATGAGCTTGGACATCCTCTACAAAGAGGTGAGGTGATGTTTCCTACTAATTAAATACAGTAAAAATTTGATCTACATGAGGAAAAAATTTTAATTCTTCCTTTTTTGAGCACAGGTTCCCAGAGCAATTGTCAACGTCTTAGAGATCCTGGAGATTGAAGGCCTTCGCAGGATTAAAAGCGACAGTCTCGGGTGTAATTTGATACAAAAGTAGGGTTCTTCATTAACCGGAGGGAGATGCCATGTTGCAATCCCAACTAGTATCGCAAATGTAACCAACCCTAACCCTGCACATCTCAAACATGCATATGCACCATACATCATCTGCTTGTTGGACCAGATCATTTAATTATACTTCTCCTCAACATTTCATTTTTATTCTACAAATTTAGTTATTTGTTTAAATTTCAGCTTTAATCATCACTTTCTTCTTTATTTTCTGTGTCTCTGACTGGCACCAGAGCACAAAAATTAACTCACACATTATTTCATGAGCTAGAGTAACAGTATCAAGTATAATCTGAACATTTTATTGCATCTGCATGCTTTTTATGTGCATTCTTTTCAAACCAGTCATTTATCCTGTTATTTTGCCTTTTTGTTGGAGTTAAGAGTGGGAGTGCACGTTCAATTGCCCCTCCCAAAGTGACGCAACAATATAAAGATTCTTCAGGGAGAATATAATAACTATATGATTTCACCAGCCATTATATAAAATAAAGTTTGATTGCACCACTATTTTAAATCAACACAGCCAAATCTGAGGTTTGAATCAAAACAATCACAAAAATGTCTGTAAATTCCTAGAGGGACTATGCTGGTAAAATTCTCAGTCATTCAGGTCATGGTAATCCAAAGAGGTTTGAATTTGCATTGAACAATGCAGGAGAGCCACCTCTTCAGGTCACCACTCTGCAGCCCACTTACACCTGAAGGACAAAGGACACACTTTTGAAGAGGACAATGTTCACATTCTGGAGGACAGACGATGGATGGTTTGAGAGAGGAGTGAAGGAAGCTATGCCAAACGGGAAAGACCTACATTAAATAGAGGAGGAGGCCTCAGGTTTCACCTTTTCAGCACCTATTGGGCCATTCCCATCTGTACCGGGTCGGCCCGGGCCGGGTAGCCCCAGTCGGCCCCAGCCTGGCCCGGTTGATTCCACACATCCTTGCCTTAAGCCCATGTGGGCTGATTCTACCCACCAATCAGAGGCTTGCTCTAATGGAAGGTGTGAATTTGCTGTCAGCAGTGGGTGTGTTGGCCCTGGTCGGCCTGAAGCAGACCCCCTCGAGAAGAGGGCTGAGAATGAGCCTTGGTTGGCCCGGAAAAATACCAGGCCACCCGATATGTAAACAACCTACGCTACCCGGCCCGGGCCGACCCGGTACAGATGGGAATGGCCCATATAATGCAGCTTTGAACCTAATTCCAAAGCAGTTTTAGTCTAGATCACACCCTCCTGCATCTAATCAAAACAACCATTCCCACACAATAGGACCTAACGACATCAATGACTTCTCAGGGGTAGGGAGGAGGGGTATTCATAGGTAGTTTCAGCTCGTTAAGCAGTAATAGACAGTTATAGTTTATAAGCTTGACCCCATATTCCAGTCAGAGTTGACTAAGCTATGTCAAAATGTCTTCAAGAAACCATGTAATCCAGTTGCTTTCATTCAAACCCCTTTGGAATCCTGGGACTGAGTCTGAAGCTGAATGTGTTTTTAGTATAAAATCTATTAAGTAAATTCTTCTAAAACCCTCCTGAGACCTTCAATGATCAGAGGTGTTGCTTTTTTTTAAAGTTATTTACCTTCCAATTTTTTACTTTGTTTGAGCTACTAATTGTTCAGAAAAACTATTTTGTTTTCCAAATAATCTCTCTCATTCGGAAAATAATGAAGCTCTTAGGAGGTAAAATAATGACACCTCTCTGTGCACTTTGTCTATCTGTGTGGGTTTTTCATCTCTGCTTCATCTTCAGATTTTATGATTGTTGGCAATTTTGTTGTGGAGAAATTTTGCCAAAACAGATTTTCTGTGTTAATTTTCACAGGCAGGTCTGTCCCTGCTTCCTCCTGCCTGGAGAGGATTCACCAGAGCTGGCCGAAATCAAACGGATCAATCGGGATGTACAGGTTAGTAAAACCGTAAATCCAAAATGTCCTGATTAAGATGGGTCATTACATCTGCATTACTGTTATTTTCTGTCAGATTGAGACTGAAAAGCTGGTGTATGGAGGCAACTATGATGGCAGAGAAGACTTTGCAGTAGTACTCCAACCTTTCTTTAAAAATACCATTGTTCCCCTAGACACTGTAAGCCATCGCTCAGTCTTCACCACCGTGCCAAGTGTACATATTTAGATTCCCATCCTCTTTAGAGCACATGCACACGCAGTGATGTTTGCTTCTTCTAGGATGGCAGGCCCGACTCCACCTACTTCTCTAAGGACTGTTTCCACTTCAGCGAACGAGGACATGCTGACATGGCAATTGCTCTGTGGAACAATATGGTGAGTCTGGCAAAGCTGAAGGGCTCAGAACAGAGTCACAAATAACTATTCTCCAAAGCTCAGATGTTTTTCTGTTCCGTTTAGTTGGAGCCGGTGGGGCAAAAACAGACGTACAACAATTTCACTAATGCCAGAAATAACCTAAAGTGCCCCACTGAGGTGAGACAGCTGCTACACGATGCTACTGCTGACCTAGTTGTGCACTAAAAAGATGCGGTGTGTTTCAGGAGCATCCATATATCTTCACAAAGGGGAACAGTTTTCCCACAACCACCTCAGATTGTTCTGGTAGTGTTCCAGCCTGGCTCGCCGCTGTGCTGGCCATTGTGGGCCTTCTGATTGGCTGGGTCATCACCTGGACTGTCTTCTTCTGCAGAGACAAGACCAGCAAGAGGAAGATGATGACATCTTCACTGGGGATGAAGGAGACAACGTTTTAAAAATCTACTTGTTGGGGGGGGGGGGGGGGGGGGCACTTCAGCTCCAATAACGAGTTTAATTCAGCATCACATAACCATGCAAACCCAAATGTATTGGTCCTTTGGCATGTTTGTATTTGTATGTTCATAAACTGCAAATGGTCCAGAATTCAGCAGCCCGTATTATCACCAGAACCCCTTCCTTTCACCACATCACCCCGGTTCTCCAGCAGCTTCACTGGCTCCCAGTTAAATTCAGGTCCATCTTCAAAATTCTCCTCCATACCTTCAAAGCTATCCACAACCTCTCTCCTCCATATATCTCAGACCTTATAAGTATTCACACCCCATCCCGTTCACTCAGATCTTCTTCTTCCATCCATCTTGCGGTTCCTTCTGCCCGTCTCGCTACCATGGGGAGCAGAGCTTTCAGCCGCTCTGCTCCCCGTCTCTGGAACTCACTTCCCCCAGACATCAGGAACATCGACAGTTTTACCCTTTTCCAATCAAAACTCAAAACACACATGTTTAAATCTGCTTTCAACCTCTGATTTTATTGAACTGTTTCTCTCTTTGTTTTTTGTTGTTTGGGTTTTATTATTGTTTTATTGTATTTTATTACGTGTTTTCTGTAAAGTGACCTTGGGTGTCCTGAAAGGCGCTTTGAAATAAAATGTATTATTATTATTATTATTATTATTATTATTATTATTATTATTATTATTATGTTTTTGCAGTAATTTGAAACAAGTGGTTAAATGGTTTTAAATAATGTAATGTGAATTAAAATACACAATAATGCCCCCAAACATTGAAAAATAAAACTATTAGAGGCTGTGAGGTTCATTAGCTCAATTAATCCACTAAGTGTTAATTTATGTGTTAGTTTATATTGTCATCAAAAGAAGGGGATTTGAAAAAGAATACATGTGATAATTAATCTAAAAAAAATTTAAGTGAGCTCTTGACAAAACTTTTGCTCATTAAAAGAACAGAAAGACCCATTTTCATCTGCTTATCTGGGGTCGAGTCACGGGGGCAGCAGTCTAAGCAGGGAGGCCTAGACTACCTTCTCTCCAGTCACTTGGGCCATGATCCTGCAAGAGGATCCCAAGGCGTTCCCTGGACAGCCAAGACGTCCCTCCAGCGTGACCTGGGTCTTCCTTTGGGATTCCTCCCAGTTAGATGTGCCCGAAAAACCTCACTAGGGAAGCATCCAGGACGTATCCCAACTATACGCCTGAGCCACCACAAGCGGCTCTTCTTGATGTGGAGGAGCAGCAAATCCACTCCGAGCCCCTGGTTGACCAAGCATCTCACCCTATCTCTGAGGGAAATCGTAGACACCCAGTCGAGAAAACTCATTTGGGCCGCTTGTATCTGCGATCTTGTTCACTACTTAAAGCTTGTGACCATAAATGAGCGAATGTAGATTGACCTGTAAATGGAGAGCTGAGCCGGAAGGCAAAGCTCTCTTCACCACGACAGACCGGTTCAATGCCCGCATCTCCGCAGCACCAATCCGCCTGTCGATCTCATGCTCCATCTGTTATAGCCATAAATAAGACTTGTTTAAGTTATATTTTTGTGAGAATTAGTTTTATATTTGAACTTTAGCATTCTTAGTAAATAAGGTTAATATCAGTTGAAGTGATTATTATTCTGAAGTGTGGGCTTTTATTTTGAAAGTACCATTTCCGGTTAAGACGGTTTTTGGTGTTGAAATTAGAAGATTCTAGAAGGATAATGGCATGGATCAACGTAGTTTTTGACCGTGTTTACAGTGTTTTTTGGTAAAACAAAGAAAAAGTGAGTTGCAATTTTGTGATGCTTATTTTTTGTCCTGACATCTTTTTTCTAGATAAAGATTTTTTGTTAAAATGTCTGGTTTTCACGCGTCCTTTATTTTCGATGATGCTTCCAGAATGACAGTAATAGGATCTGTAGTCAACATCAGCTTTCCCTCATTCATGAACAAGACCCTGAGATACTTAAACTCCTCCTCTTGAGGCAGGACCTCATCCCTGACCTGGAGAAGGCATTCTACCCTTTTCAGATTCAAAACCATGGTCTCAGATTTAGAGGAGCTGATTCTCATCCCAGCTGCTTCACACTTGGATATGAACTGCTCCAGTGAGAGTGGTAGATCAAGGTCTAATGAAACCAATAGGATCACATCATCTGCAATAAGCAGAGACCTGATTCTTAGGTCACCAAAACAGATCCCCTCACCACCTTGGCTGTGTTTTGAAATCCTGTCCAAAAAATTATGAACAAACTTTGTGACTAAGGGCGGCCTTGGTGGAGTCCAACTCTCACCGGATACGAGCCCAACTTACTGCTGTCAATGCGGACCAAGCTCTGACACTGGACATATGGGGACCTAACAGCCTGTACCCGGTCCTGACAGCCTGGTACCTCATACTCCCGGAGTGCCCCCCACAGGGCCCTCTGAGGGACGCAGTTGAACGCCTTCTCTAAATCCACAAAACACAAGCAGATTGTCTTAGGTGTGTTCTTGCTGTGTCATATTTCTAACTCCATGCTGTAGTTCTTTCTTAAAACACAGAACAGTTTTGTTACTTTGTGTCTGCCCTGAGACTGGGAGATCAGGGGTTCGATTCCTGGTCGGGTCATACCAAAGACTTTGAAAAAATGGGACCCAAGGCCTCCCTGCTTGACACTCAGCATTAAGGGGTTGGATTGGGGGGTTAAACCACCAAATAGTTCCCGAGCGCGGCTGTGTCTGCAGCTCACCACTCTCCCAGGGGATGGGTCAAATGCGGAGAACAAATTTCGCACACACACCTGTGTGTGTGACAACTAATGGGACTTTAACTTTTACCTGTTTTCACGCTACGTTTCGTCTGCGGCTGCAGACTTCCTCAGGCTGACGCTGATGGTGGCGTCACTTCCTTCTCCGTTTATCCGCGGGCAGCAGAGGACGTTGTCGCCCTCTGCTGCCTGCTCTCCCCTCTCACATGTAGATTGGTTGGGCAAACTCCCACGCACCCTCTGGGACCCCCCTAAGGGTATACCACTGATCCAAATTTCCACGGCCAGGCTGAAAACCACATTGCTCCTCCTGAATGTGAGGCTCGACAATACGACAGACCCTCCATTCCAGAACCACTGAATACACCTTACCAGGGAGGCTCACTCACCCTGCGGTCCTCCTTTTTAAATAGGGGTACCACCACCCCGGTCTGCCAATCCAATGGAACTGCCCCCGATGTCCACACAATATTGCAGAGCCACGTCAACCAACACAACATCCAGGGCCTAAGGAAACTCCGGGTGGATCTCATCCACCACTGGGGCTTGCCAGTGAGAAGTTTTTGACCACCTCAGTGACCTTGGCTCCAAAGATCCGAGAGCCCAACCCAAAGTCCCCAGATTCTGCTTTCTCACTGGAAGACGTGCCAGTCAGATTGAGGAAGTCTTCAAAGTACTCTGCCCACCAATCCACATTTCCTGTTGAGGTCAGCAGCACACCATCCCCAGTGTAATCAGTATTGTTGGTTCACTGCTTCCCCTCCTGAGATGTTAGATGGTGGACCAGAATGTCCTCGAAGCCGCACGGAAGTCTTGCTCCATGATCTCACCAAGCTCCTTCTATGCCTGGGTTCTTGCCTTTGCGACCACCCGAGCTGCATTCTGCTTCTACTGCCACTAACTATCAGCTGCCTCTGGAGTCCCACTGGCCAAAAGACCGGATAAGATTCTCTCTTTAGCTTGACAGCATCGATAACCGCCAGTGCCCACCAGCGGGTTTGGGGGGTTGCCGCCACGACTGGCACAAATGACCCTGTGGCCACAGCTTCAGTCGACCGCCTCAACAATGGATGCATGGAACATGCCCCAATTGCACTTAATGGTCCCCCCCCCCCCCCACCCCCCCGGGATGTGTTCAAAATTTTGTCGGAGGTGGGAATTGAAGCTCCTTCTGACAGGAGACTCTGCCAGATGTTCCCAGTAGACCCTCAGAATACATTTAGGCCTGCCAGGTCTAACCAGCATCCTCCCCCACCACCGAAACCATCTCACCACCAGGTAGTGGTCAGTTGACAGCTCAGCCCCTCTCTTCACTTGAATGTCCAAGACACGCAGCCGAAGATCAAATGAGACAACAACAAAGTCGATCATCGAGCTGCGGCCTAAGGTATCTCGGTGCCAACCTTTGTGGTCAGCTTTATGCCTGAACATGGTGGAGTCAAAAGTGTTAAACCCAGCTACAGCACTACGAACTCAGGGATTTCTTTGATTTATATGATTGAGGAAGGAAATTGACACCCTCCTGTGTGCTATAAGACCATTTATCCAATTTAGGCAAATTACTTTTCCACATAGGGTCAAGCAGGTTTGTTTGGATAGCTTTTTCTAATAATAAAGGAAATAATCTGTTATTGTATTTATACTTACTGACATTTAACACCCCCTTCCCAAATAAATAAATAACAACAGTTTATTTGTACTTGCTGTCATTTTTAAAACAAGTTAACCAATCTATAACTGAATTGTACCTTTTTTAAATAAAGTTTTGAGAGATAGTTAAAACTGTGTGTGTGTGTGGTGTGTATATATGTGTGTGTGTGGCATTTATACTTACTGACATTTAACACCCCCTTCCCAAAGAAATAAATAACAACAGTTTATTTGTATTTGCTGTCATTTTTAAAACAAGTTAACCAATCTATAACTGAATTGCACCTTTTTTAAAATAAAGTTTTGAGAGATAGTTAAAACTGTGTGTGTGTGTGTGTGTGTGTGTGTGTGTGTGTGTGTGTGTGTGTGTGTGTGTGTGTGTGTGTGTGTGTGTGTGTGTGTGTGTGTGTGTGTGTGTGTGTGTGTGTGTGTGGTAGGTAGGTATTTGGTGTGAATCTGCTTGCTGGCTCTCCTCTTAAATGTACCTGTTTCTTAAAAACAGCGCCATCTAGCGTTCTCGACGATATCGCAATTTACAACACCAGAGTGAAGATGGCGGAGGGTGAATTGAACGTGGACAGCCTCATTTCTCGACTTCTTGAAGGTACACGGTTTTGTTTGATCTATAATATCAAGTACGTATGGGGGGTTGCACTATCTGGCTAGGGTATTGCACGTGTAGTATTTCGGTGACTGTTGCTTCTAGTACGCAGGGAACTGTTAGCTGCTGTTGCTAACGCTGTATTCTAGCTAACAACGTACGTAACCGACCGTTAGCTGCCTGGCTATGTTTATAAACACTACGAGCAATTACTGCCGACGTGCCCCACTTATGATAAGGATTTTATCTGATTTTGAATGGTCCTAGTTTTTATTCCAGCATACGAATCAACTTTATGCCTGAAATAATTGTTGCGGAATTCTGATATATCTGTTTGTGTTGTTTAGTAGGAGGGGCAGCAACGTTTTTCCCAGTGCAATGGACGCTAAACCCAGGGACATTCTTGATTATTCCTGTTTTCCCAGCATATGTTTCTTACAATAGCTACATTTTTACTCGACTGTTTTCTTGCTGATTTCATTTCTGTTTGAGGTTTGTTCTGGTTTAATGGTTTACCCGAAGAGCATCAAGGATTCAAAGAAAAGAATTTCAGCTAAACTAATTGAGCAGAAAAACATACATGACAAAAAGAGTGATTGGCTTGATTTTTATGTGTGTTTTACAGTTGGCAGGCTGTTATGATTCCTACCTCTCATGATTTCACAATCTCTTTAACTTTATGAATTTGTATCAGTGCCAAAACTAATTAGCTGAACATTAATATGAGATTTTAAATCTGCTGAATATAATAGAAGACATGCTTTGATCACGCATATCTTGCATCAGATGTTTGTGTTCGTTCAGCCATTCTTTTGTTTTATGATCTTTGTTGTTGAATATCAAAAGGAAAGAAAGGTGTTCAGAAATCTCTGCGCTGGCATTTTACCAGCTGCACACAAAAGGAGTTTTCTGTTCCCTTGTGAGATGCTCTGAGTCAGACCAAACCTCTAAAGCTAACTGTCCTTGGCACACTTTCCTTTTCTATCTGTGACACTGTTATGGACAAGACACCACATTCAAGGCTATCACAGAGATAGTCTTATCTAAAGAGGAGTTTTCAGTAAAGTAAATACATCATCTTAAATTTTACCACTACTAATTTTAAAATGGTTGTGTTCACAGCCTTTCTCAGTGCGTTGCTATTTTTCTCATTTAGCCTAAATCCAAAATAAGCTCATAGTGAAATGGTGACATTAAACTTAACTAATGATGCTACAGCTGTGTTATGTTTTACATTTTAAAATAAAGTCTGTGTAAAAGCAAAAATAGAAATGATACATTTCCATTAAATCAACAGAAAACCTCTTTTTTACATTATATTTGTTATGAAATAAAATCATATCTCTGTCCCAAATTATACCTAAGAGATGGTCCTTTTATCAGCCACAGTGTATACAGAAAGTATTCAGACATCCATCAGTTTTTCACTCTTTATATTGCAGCCATTTGCTATAATCAATAAAATCATTAATTTCTAATTAATGTACACACAGCACCCATGTTGACTAGAGGTGTGAATCTTCACTTGTCATTCGATTACGATTATTGGGTCAACAATTCAATTCGACATCTCGATGCATCATGATTATTTCATATTGATTTGTTTTCATCAATAAATAGAAGATGTCAGATAATTGCTTTTTATTTTTATTTATTTATTTTTTAATCAAAAACGTAATTGACACAACCTGCCATCCCTCAAAAGCTCTCAAGTCACAACAGGTTAGGATAAAACATTTTAAACATTTAAGAAGATTTAACAAAGTAAAACAATCTGTTTCCTCGTTCAACACCACGCCTCAGGCTGAGAAAAACACGCTTTGCAAAAACTCACAAAATCTAAAAAAGCACTGAAAACCTACAGGACACATAATGTAATAATAAAATACATAATGGGTTCATATGAGTGTTTAATGTCTCTGAGCAACTCCAGAGTCAAATATTTATGCCGCAGTTCAAGTCTGTCAGAAATAACACCAAATGAAATGTTTGACTAGTTATTTTATTTGAACCCAGTGGTTCATTTCTGAAATGTTGGAGAATGAATCAAGTTCTGTTTGATGCAGAAAATAATAAAACATAAAACAAATTCTAAACTTCCAATAATATTTAAGATGTGTGTTTTATTCTTTCTGATAATAACACCAGCAGAAGGCTGTAGGCTGGATTAGGATTAAATTAGCCAGCTGATGGATCTCCTTCACTAACCAGCTAACTACAAACCTTTCCACTAACCTGTCCTGTGGGACCCTCACCATGTAACCCTCATGTCCTTGATGTCTCTGGAGGAGCAGATAGGAGACAAGACCTCCTGTAACTTAAAATGATCCAAAGCTTCTTCCCAGCTTCTCTTTAAGCTGAATTTAACATCAGTTTATCATCATGAAACAGAAGAATAAAGTGGAAAAAGAACTTCTATCTTCTATTTCTCTCTCCTTTTAACTTTTTCGTGTCCCTAAATAAAAGAGACAGACGATCACGCTGCAGCCGCCATCATTGACCCCGCCCCTTCCCTGAGACCGGATCTCCCTGCATCACAACACTCGGTCTGACTGAGCGCTTTGAGGAGAAATAATAACGAAGTTATGAAAATAATAATGCGTGTTTGGAGGAGTGTCGTCCCCCCCCCCCCCCCCCCCCCTGCAGATCTTTATTTTGGTCCAGAACCCAGTAATCTTTGCCCAGTGGGACATCCTTAGTTATTTGTACCTTTGTGTTAATTCCCCACAGGCAGAATTTGTTTTATTATTCCCAACCTGTGGATGGAAAGATTATTTTTGTTGTTGTTGTAAATAAACCTGATCATCATTTTAACTTTTACATCCCGTGTTATTGTCCCTTCCTTTTTGCACACGAGCCGAACTCCCCAGGGAGAGTCGTAACACCACTTGCCTCACGCTCATAAGTGACCAAAACAAAGCAGTATGGAGACACTCCGTCTCCAACCACCTCTCAGGCAGCAGCCTGCTCTCCCAAGTTCTACACGTCACCAGAACATAACCAACCAACACAATAAAAGCAGTTTTATACAAAATGGAAGGCCTGTAGTGTTTATTCTCTTACAGTAACAATTTATCAATTTTTTTGAGGAATTTATTTGAGATTTTCTGGTTTTCATTAATTGTGCAATAGAAAAATAATCATTAGATTAATCGTCTAGTCATTAGAATAGTCGACTATTCGATAAAATAATCGTCCGAATAATCGTTTTAAAAATAATCATTGACCCCCAGCCCTAAGCACACAGCTAAAATAATGGAGTGTCTTCACGGCAACTCTGTGACTGTTCTTAAATAGCCCAGCCAGAGCCCTGACATTCTATATTTCTATAGTCTGTATTCAAGGTGGTGTGCTGTGTGTTCATCAATGAGGGAAAAATGAATTTAATTTATTCTAGCAAATGGCTGCAAAAAAGCAAAAAGTGAAAAATTGACAGGGTTCTGAATACTTTCCGTACCTGTTTATACATCTGCACAGCTTTATATACAGAAACAAGTGGTGACTGTTGTAGTCAGAATGCTTCATGATTGTTTAGCTTCAGACCAAAGTTCAAGCTTGCAGAAAGCCTGTGCAAAGTTAAAACGGTCAAAGATTAAAGCTAAACCAGTTAATCCCAGTTCTAGTAAGTCTGGATGGATGAGACCTGGTGAAGAGCCCAACTTCTGCAGTTTCATGCTTCATGTGATGCATGAAATGTGAAATAGAAAGACAGTCGGTAAAGCTGAAGTTGCTGAGCTGCACGGGGATGTCAGATTCATCATCTGAAGAATTGTTTCCCTGTTTAACGTTTTTTTTTTTTAAACAAATCAGACAGTGATGGGTTTAACTCCGTGAATGTTCTGATTTGGTGTGAATTTAGAATTGTATTCACTAAGTCTGACTGAATTTCTGAGGCAGCTTGTCATTATTTTCATTTTAACTGCTCTTTGTGGCCATGTTGTGAATTGTCTTCTGTCACAGAAATAAAACAACAATAGAGAGAAGATGTAACCAATTGTCTTCTCTGACTAAGATGCATTTACTCCACAAGTCTCAGCTAGCCATTATTGGATGTTTAGTGGGCGTCTAGCTGTAAGGCAGCACAGAAATGGTTATTCGTTACATAATTCCTCAGATTTACTCGTATTTTTGTTTTCAGAATGGCTAATTTTTACCCATTGCTGATTTTATTGACATAAAATAAGGCTTTTGTTAAAAAAAACAGTCCTTTGAATGCCCTACAGAAAGGATATTAAGGTAGCAGCCTTTGTGTATTTTTTCTTTTCCATATAGGTTGGTGCTGACTGTAGCTGGTGTTTGCATTTCTCAGATTTGCTTCAGAAGTCATAAAGTAATTTTAGCTAACTGCATCTTCAAAGCCAATAAAGCTACAACATGGCTAAAAAGTGCAGGCTTCTCTCAGAACCTGAGAGGTTGGTTGTCAAAGCTACAGAATGATCACACCTACGGATTTGATCTGGTTAGAATAAATCCGTGCGTCTGTTTTAAGTGGAGGAGGTTCCATTACGGTCTCACAAAGGTCAACAGAACGGGCCGTAGAAGCGGTCTGTTGGATTGAAAGCCTCTGTTTTTCCTCTGCAGTGCGAGGATGTCGTCCGGGGAAGGTGGTCCAGATGACCGAGGCAGAGGTTCGGGGTCTCTGCATCAAGTCCAGAGAGATTTTCCTCAGCCAGCCCATCCTACTGGAGCTGGAGGCTCCCCTGAAGATCTGTGGTCAGGACATGTCCTTAGTGTCTTTGTTCTCCCAGTTTATCACCATTTATGCTTTATCTGCTTGTTTACTTGCTCTGTTTTATTACTGCTTTGCTTTCGTTTGTATCACTCGTATTTAGTTTTCTCATAAAAGCAACAAGTGCACAATGATAATCTTGCTATGATGCTCAATTTGGGAAAAATGTCAGTCCTGCTTCACTCATACTAGGGATGCACATAGTTAACCAGTTAATTGCCGTGGGGGGTGTTTATAGTCAACTGAGTATTGACCTTTAATGACTTCAATAGCCGGTTAAACAAATAGAGAACGTGCATCTTTAGCTCATACCTACAAACTTGTTGCTTTTTGGCGCAAATTGCCATTTTTAAACCAAATCTTGCGGTCATGTTCAGTGCCAAACATCATAGTCACAAAGACAGCATGCAAAAAACTGATTGCGTATAACACCCGCTGCGTCAGCATCTCAGAGTCTAGAGCTTAACTGTGATCAAATCAAACTGTCTCCACTAAATAACAAGGCCTATAGCAAGTATATCTCCTTTAACCTTTACAGTTGTTTCCAGAGACTCTTGCTTTGTTTTTTTCAAGTGGAGTTTGTTTGGAGTGAAGTACTGAAAATACAGGGAGTGCAGAATTATTAGGCAAGTTGTATTTTTGAGGAATAATTTTATTATTGAACAACAACCATGTTCTCAATGAACCCAAACAACTCATTAATATCAAAGCTGAATGTTTTTGGAAGTAGTTTTTAGTTTTTAGTTTTAGCTATTTTAGGGGGATATCTGTGTGTGCAGGTGACTATTACTGTGCATAATTATTAGGCGACTTAACAAAAAACAAATATATACCCATTTCAATTATTTTATTTTTACCAGTGAAACCAATATAACATATCCACATTCCCAAATATACATTTCTGACATTCAAAAACAATACAAAAACAAATCAGCGACCAATATAGCCACCTTTCTTTGCAAGGACACTCAAAAGGCTGCCATCCATGGATTCTGTCAGTGTTTTGATCTGTTCACCATCAACATTGCGTGCAGCAGCAACCACAGCCTCCCAGACACTGTTCAGAGAGGTGTACTGTTTTCCCTCCTTGTAAATCTCACATTTGATGATGGACCACAGGTTCTCAATGGGGTTCAGATCAGGTGAACAAGGAGGCCATGCCATTAGTTTTTCTTCTTTTATACCCTTTCTTGCCAGCCACGCTGTGGAGTACTTGGACGCATGTGATGGAGCATTGTCCTGCATGAAAATCATGTTTTTCTTGAAGGATGCAGACTTCTTCCTGTACCACTTCTTGAAGAAGGTGTCTTCCAGAAACTGTCAGTAGGACTGGGAGTTGAGCTTGACTCCATCCTCAACCTGAAAAGGCCCCACAAGCTCATCTTTGATGATACCAGCCCAAACCAGTACTCCACCTCCACCTTGCTGGCGTCTGAGTCGGACTGGAGCTCTCTGCCCTTTACCAATCCAGCCATGGGCCCATCCATCTGGCCCATCAAGACTCACTCTCATTTCATCAGTCCATAAAACCTTAGAAAAATCAGTCTAGAGATATTTCTTGGCCCAGTCTTGACGTTTCAGCTTGTGTATCTTGTTCAGTGGTGGTCGTCTTTCAGCCTTTCTTACTTTGGCCATGTCTCTGAGTATTGCACACCTTGTGCTTTTGGGCACTCCAGTGATGTTGCAGCTCTGAATTATGGCCAAACTGGTGGCAAGTGGCATCTTGGCAGCTGCACGCTTGACTTTTCTCAGTTCATGGGCAGTTATTTTGCGCCTTGGTTTTTCCACATGCTTCTTGCGACCCTGTTGACTATTTTGAATGAAAAGCTTGATTGTTCGATGATCACGCTTCAGAAGCTTTGCAATTTTAAGACTGCTGCATCCCTCTGCAAGATATCTCACTATTTTTTACTTTTCTGAGCCTGTCAAGTCCTTCTTTTGACCCATTTTGCCAAAGGAAAGGAAGTTGCCTAATAATTATGCACACCTGATATAGGGTGTTGATGTCATTAGACCACGCCCCTTCTCATTACAGAGATGCACATCACCTAATATGCTTAATTGGTAGTAGGCTTTCGAGCCTATACAGCTTGGAGTAAGACAACACGCATGAAGAGGATGATGTGGACAAAATACTCATTTGCCTAATAATTCTGCACTCCCTGTATTTAACCCTGTTAAAGTGATTATCGCTTCCGTTTAGCCTCAGAAAGATTTGATCTACTCTAGAATGACTGTTTCTCTCTTGTAGGTTTTAATGTATAAAGCACAGCACATTGGATCTTTTTCATGATCCTAATTAACCCCAAAATGTGTAAAACTGGACAACTTTCTTTTGTCAAAGTAATCATCATATCCACTTTGGACATGAAGGCAATATGAAAGCAAATGCTGTCTTTTGCCCATTATTGACCCTCTTAATCTACATCAGAATTCTATTTTGTATATAAAAATCCCCCCCCCCCCCCCCCCCCCCCCACACACACACACATGAAACCTCCGTTCTGGCTTTCTGAAGAGTTGGTGCACCAGTGGCAAACTCCCACTGTGCAGAGTGCATAACACCACAAAGCGTGTTCTGCACCGCCTCGAGCAGCAATCTATTTCTCTGATGCATCTCAGACCTTTCTTACGTAACCAGGCTGCACAGTCGTATACTATCTCTCCATCACTCTCGTGATTTAACCGCCCAGTGTTTTTAAAGGGGAACACATTTCTCTTATGTATCGTATGTTATTACATTACAGCAGGATGTCTTGTCTCCTCAGCGCAGCAAGCAAACAAATCTGAGCCACGTAGCATAAGTGCTGCTCCTAGAGAGGACTGTGGGTGATTAAATTTTTGGTCTTAATAATATAGTTCCTGTTCAGGTGGGACTCTCTTTAGTCATCTGTGTCAGCAGCGTTTGTCCAAAATTAGAGCAGCTCTTAAGGTGGCACAAGAGGATATAAACGGAAGGTCTTGCCTGCGTGATGACACGAGTCTCCCCTCTAGAGATAGGGTGCTTTGCTGGAAGCAGCTCTAATGTCACATAGCCGAGGTTGGCCCAGAGTTCCTGAGAGAGCTGTTAGCTTGTGTGGAGGTGGGTTTTGTGTGTGCTTTGTTTTTGCGATTAACCTGGATTGTGATTGGCCGTTCCCTGACAGCTCCGTTCTTCAACGGGTATTTGTCCGGTGCCAGTTGTCATGATTTTTATTCATGTGACACAGCCTCAGTGAAACCCAAGCAGAGCTTTGATTCAGCTCCATTTGCTCTGAATAAAGTGTTTTCAGATCCTTAGTTGCCAGATTAACACCTTGTATTTTTAGGTGATATCCATGGGCAGTACACAGATCTCCTGAGGCTGTTTGAGTATGGCGGCTTCCCTCCAGAAGCCAACTACCTGTTCCTGGGTGACTACGTGGACAGAGGCAAACAGTCCCTGGAAACCATCTGCCTCCTGCTGGCATACAAGATCAAATACCCAGAGAACTTCTTCCTGCTCAGAGGAAACCACGAATGTGCTTCAATCAACCGTATTTATGGCTTCTACGACGAGTGTAAGCAAACCCAAACGCAGGCTGTGTGTGTTACCGCGTGTCTCATCCAGTGTCTGGTGCCTAAAAGGTTTGTGTTTACAGGCAAGCGGAGGTTCAACATTAAATTATGGAAGACCTTCACAGACTGCTTCAACTGCCTCCCCATTGCGGCTATTATTGATGAGAAGATCTTCTGCTGCCATGGAGGTGACACGCTGACGCCATTGCACTTTCAAGGATCTACATTTCCCTACTAGCCTTTCTAAAATTAAATGTTTTCTATATTCTCTGCTTCAGGGCTTTCGCCTGATTTGCAGTCGATGGAGCAGATCCGCAGGATCATGAGGCCAACAGACGTTCCAGATACAGGTGCTGTTCGAGTCTCGCTGTACTTCAGTTGTAACAGTCAGAACTTCAAATCCCTACCTGAGAGTTTCTCTTCTATTTTCAACACTTTTCTGCCTTGTTCTGGTATTTTATGTCCGTCTCTCAGGCCTGCTGTGTGACCTGCTGTGGTCCGATCCAGATAAAGATGTGCAGGGCTGGGGAGAGAATGATCGTGGAGTCTCCTTCACCTTTGGGGCTGATGTGGTCAGCAAGTTCTTAAACCGCCATGACCTGGACCTCATCTGCAGAGCCCACCAGGTAATTAAGATGGGAATGATGCACATCAATGCAGCATCTCTATTCTGTTCTCTGGGAATGAAACGGCAGCTGTGTTTTAATTATTTCATTTCCTGCTTTCTTTTCTTACATTTATTATAATCACAAGCTCCCAGTTACGGTTAATCTGATGTTTTAGTGTTTTTTCATTAGGATTACGCCGTACCGGGTTATATACTTGAGTTTTAGTTGAAAATATCACATATATTTCTGGTTGGCGTTGTCAGCTCAGCCCAGCAAGAGCAGTTTGTCTTTGAAGCTAACCAAAGATGTGATTCTTGGTATCGATCGCTGTGGGTGTTGGAATAATGTTGTGTCCTAAAACAGGTTGTGGAGGATGGATATGAGTTCTTTGCCAAACGCCAACTGGTCACACTTTTCTCTGCTCCAAACTACTGCGGGGAGTTTGACAATGCGGGCGGCATGATGAGTGTTGATGAATCTCTCATGTGTTCCTTCCAGGTAATCTAAAACCCAAAATGACCCGATACTCTTCTAGAACAATCTGTTAATGTAAAAAACAACAACCCACGTGTCTTGATTCTCCGTCTTTAAGATCCTGAAGCCCTCAGAGAAGAAGGCCAAGTACCAGTACGGTGGTGTGAACTCTGGCCGACCTGTCACCCCACCCCGCACCACCCAAGCACCCAAGAAGAGGTGAACACCCAACTGAGGCTCTCTTCCCTCCTTCTCATCCAATCCATTCCTGGTCAGCCGTCATGGCCCCCCCCCCCCCCTGTAACCCTCCTCACCTGGCCCCTCCTCCGCTCCACTTTTCTTAATGTGTATTAATACAGAAATTTGCTGTGATCAATCTGTTTTATTTATTTACTTCCTGTCTGTGTCTTGGGATTTTTCTTTTTTGATATTCTAACTCTCTTTTCGTGGTTTTACTCTCCAGTGCTATTTAAGGTTTTCTGGGGTTCTGTGTTGTCTAAGGAAATGCCTTCTATAATGAGAGGCAGTGTGACCAAGTGAAAGAAATCCTGATTTTTTTTCTCCAGAAAAACTAAATAGAGATTGATCATATATGTATATTTTTCTTTTTTTTCTTCTTTTTTTAATTTTTGACCTCATCTAAATGAATCATTTTGGGTGTTTAATTTGGAGCTGTGCAACACGTGTTTCCATTTCCATCTCATCACAGCATGAGCAGTACACTTTGTGGTTTTTGTGCACAAGTATATTATTTAGATTTAAACATAGAGGAACGTACAGCGTCACACTTTTAGAAAACAAAATGAACAGATCTACCTAAAAGCCTAATCTGGACACCAATTTCTCTACTTTATGTCTCGACTGCTCCCACACAGAAAGCTAATGATGATTCCTGGTAATATTCTTTCTTATAAAGATAATTTCCTTGTTTTGTGGTGAGAGAGAATTTTAATTACACCCATTTGTGATTTCCATGCAGAAATCAGATGTGTTTTTGGAATTGTGCTTTTTAAATCTGGAATTTGTTAAAGGAAAATTGTGACTAATTAAAAAAATCTAACCCATCGAATAATACAAAGGATAAACAAGTCTTGAAAAATCATTCATTCTGATCGTTTATTCAAATTTACATATGGTACTACTCGGAAGAAAACTAGCTTGTGGAAGCTTTATTGTGAAATAGCAGCTCATCTGATGTAAAAGTGGGTGACCCAGCTTTAGCATTGCTGTAATTGTGTTGCCACCTGGTGTGTGAATACAGCACTGCAGGGCGAAGAGCACATCTCATGTTTTGTATTACCAAGTAGATCAGAGTGAGTCATTCGTTACATTCCTAGTATAAAATGTGGCTTCATTTTCTGTTACACGCTATCACGGATACACGAACCAGCTATAAGTATCATTTGTGTTTGCTTCAGTCTCAAATGCAAAAATAAGCTGCTGTTGTAATTTAATTGAAAGCAAATTGGTCTTTTTATTTTCTTTGTAGTATTTTTTTAACTTCTTATTTCATCCATTTATATTGCTTACTTGTTTAATTTATCTCTTTCAGGATGGCAAGAAAATGATAAAAGTGTTACCAAAAGCTGTTTTGCAATTTGTACAAGTTGGTTTGAAAGTCAATGCATTCAATAAAATCAATGAAACCTGTAGTTGCTTTTGTCTTTTTTTAAGCTCCTTAAAAAAAGAGAGAAACTTTATTAGAGAAACTTTATTAGGACCACAAACTGATAAAACTCACTACAATCAGCACATGTAGAGATTGAAAATATTTTGCTTGAAACAGGTGTTTTATTCATTCAGCTGTTTGCATAAATAAAAAAAATCTATATTAACCGATTTTAAACATGGAAAATCAGATGACACTATAAAAACTACATGTAATAGAAGTTATTTGATATGCAGTCCTTTATGATTAAAAAATAAAGGTATCTGCTTATGTTTTCAAAAATATGTTCCTCTACATCTTGTTTGGTGCTAATGTGTTAATTCAGAATAAAAAAAACATTTTTATATTAAAGTTGCATTACTGTTGGTGTGTTTCGCCTTCCAACCGATTGGGGGCGATATAAATGTCTGATTCAGCTCAACGCCCTAAACGCATTGCGGGACACTAGATTCCTAAAACACGAGGATGAGTTACATTTAAGGAAAAGACCAATGATGGTGTTTAGAAGTCGGTGATGTTGCCCACGACACGCTGCTGAACCAGAAGTGGTAAACCCGTCCTCTGCATCGTTATCAGCTAAACAAATGCAGTTGTTCGAGCACTTGGATTAAATATCGTTTTAATCCGCACATATTTATTTTGACGTGAGTTTATTTTAGATAAACGTGAGTCACTTTGTGTGTAGGATAAAGTTAATATGTCTGCCCTGTCCTGCTTGGCTGTTGTTAACAAGTCTGAAGTTCAGTGCAGGATGAGTTCAGGTAGCTAATGTATTGGTCTTTGTGTATTTGGCACACATTAAGTTCCTAAGTACTGGAAACGACAAAGATTAAAGAAGCATCTATTAGCATTATTGACGGGTCAGTTAAAAGCAGCATGTTAGCTAGGGATTCTGTAGTTGGCTCTTTATAATTGATAAAGATCACAAATCGACAGTTTTTTATGCCTGCCTGAATTGTTCGAGAAAACTTCCTTATTGATCTAGAGTTGCATCGTATAAAGCATTTCCGGTTTAGCTAATTAATTGACAACATTGAAGTGATGTTAAAAATTTGCTATTATTTTTCCTAAGTTCATACAATATCTTGTAAAGTTAATAAAAATGCTGTTCAAACGGATAAACGTTGAACTGATACAAACTACAACTAGTAGCAACATTGCATGCAATATTAAACATACCCATCATTAAAATAAAATATTAGCGTAATTTATTTTGCCCGATCTAACACTTTTTTGTATATGTAACAGAAACTCTCCATTGAATCTTCGATGGCACCACGCCCAACATCACTCCTGCTCAGCTGTTTCAATAATGAAGGATGGCGAGGTTTAGGTTGAAAACTTGCATTGCTTCAATCGCTTTAGTGCTGTTTGTACTCATCGTAACCCTTATTTTAAAGTCTCTCACTACAGAGGATTCGTCTTTCCAAAGCCCAGGAGATGTTAGGGTAATTCCAGACAAAAAGAATGATCCACAGAGCCAGAGAAACTATCAGAAAACACCAGAAGACACCGATATGAATGAGTCAGATAGGAATTCAGAGCTGGAAGCTGCACTGAGGAAGTATCCTCCTCCAAACTACTATCTCCATACTTTTTATTACGTCTGGTATGGGAACCCTAAGTTTGATGGAAAATACGTCCACTGGGACCATCCACAGCTGCCACACTGGGATGCTGAAGTAGCTCGGGGATATCCACAAGGAAGGCATGTCCCTCCTGATGACATTGGGTCCAACTTTTACCCATCTTTAGGGCCCTACAGTTCCAGGGACACTTCTGTAATGGAGGCTCATATGCAACAGCTGCGTACAGCAGCCATCGGTGAGACAAAACAGTTACTCTGCCTTTTAGCTTAACCCTCTGGAGACAGGCGTTGCAGGTTTGCAACAGTTAAAACCTACCTACCTGGTTACTCCACATACGTATTTCATGAGCATTTTTAACTCAGAAGTACCCCTGAAGGACTTAGTTGATCGTCCTTTTATCAAAACTTATTTTGAGCCTGAGAGGGTTAAGGTTCAAACACTGGTCCAAGCCATTTTTTATGTAGATGTTGTTGGAGAAAGAAGTTTCATAGGAAAAGCAGATCTTGTACCTCATTAGTGTTTGTTCTCAGGTGTGATCGCTGTTTCCTGGTATCCCCCCTCGACAAACGATGACAACGGTGAGCCGGTAGACGAGCTAGTGCCTGCACTGTTGGAGGTGGCACAGAAATACCGCATTAAGGTTTGTATGATAAAAGCACGTTCTACTGCTTTGAATGGTCATTTCCAGCTCAAAATATAGTGAAAATGAAATGCTAAAGGATAATAAATAATAAATGTCACAACAGGATGATATAAAGGGTTGCAAAAGTCCTCCTCAGCATAAAAACTTTAACTGTGGATGGGCTAATGGCACATTATATGAACAAAGTGTATTCAGTGTAAAATTAAAGAGCAAGTCATCCCCTACCAGATTCTTACTCAACTCCCACTTCCTGTTTGAAAAATGCAACAAATGCTGTCGCCTAGCTGACTGAGAGGGTGGAGCCGCTAACAAATACACACACTCACGACATTGTGACATCATAATGTACCATCGAACATCATAGTGTACCTCTTAGCCAATAGCGACGGCAGATTTAAATTCAAATGCAGTGCTGAGTTTTTACCTGACGACGGTGCAACACTGACAGTTTTAGGCAGAATATTTAAATTTTAACTAAGATGCACTAAAGTGCCGAATTAGTGACTACACGTGTCTGTAGCACAGACACTCATTTATATAGTTTATCAGCAAAAAAAATGTTGATTTGGAGTGACTTGCTCTTTAAATAAAGTCATGGATAAAAAAAATAAACCTCGTGAGATTAGAAAACCGGTGTTTTTGAAGTTTGATTTGAAAAGGCCTTCAGTATAAATCACTTAAAGCCACAGTGTGTAATAATTGTACTTGTTTACTAGGGATGGACAATATATCAGCATCAATATTGGTATTGGCCGATTTTAGTAATTTTTTAAAATATCGGTATTGCTTTAATACATAAAACCGGGCCGATATTGACAACCAATATTTTTTTCCATCTGGTCTCCATTTGTTTGCCTGTTTCAGAGGGTGAGGGGCTGATGTGTAATTGTTTCGTCACGTGAACAGTGAATGTAATCATCTCAGAACCGTAAATGTGTGTGTTGTGTGTACATAATAACGTAAATTCAACTTTAATGATTTTCAATCTATACAAAATCTGCTGCTTTTAGAAGCATTAATGTCAGCATGTCAATATCGGCAAATATCGGTTATCGGCCATAACAGTGATTGTAATATCAGTATCGGCCCAAAAATTTCATATCGGGGCATTACTATTGTTTACTATTAAATTCTGTGTTACGTCCACAAACTTTTTTACTTGTAATTCTAACCAAAGTCTATCTTAAATATTCCTAATAGCTTTAAATGTTCCATTTTTATGTACATAAACTGTGGTCAACATTAGAAATATACCAGTACGTGTGTAAGGAATGAATCCAATATACAAGTTTCACTTTTGAATGGAATTACTTAAATTAATCAACGTTATCATGAAAATCTAATTTTATGACCAGCACCTGAATGTACAGTTTATTATACTGAAGAACTTGATTGTGCTGTGTGGTGTGCAGTGAAAGGGTGAGGGTTAGGGTGTGTGCTGCATGTGCAAAATGTGTAAAAACTGTGTTTTTAATCTATATATGTTGCTGTTTTTTATGTAAAGCACTCTGTACTAATTTAATCATAAAAAGTACTCTGCAAATTAAATTTGATTTGATTGTCTTACTTCAGAAATGTCCTCATACACATAGAAAAGAGTAAAGCACGTGTATTAATGTTTGTTTTACAGGTTGTTTTCCACATTGAGCCATACAAAGGAAGAGATGAAGTCAACATGTTCACTAATGTCAAATACATAATTGAGAAGTGAGTATCATTAGTAAGTGGTCTCACTCAGGAAATACCTCTGATCAATGATCTGCTTGTTTTCTCTCTTCCCAGATACGGAGAGCACCCGGCATTTTTTAAGTATCAAACAAACTCTGGCAAACTCCTTCCACTCTTTTATGTTTACGACTCATACTTGATGAACTCTGAGCAATGGGCCAAGCTGCTGAAACACACAGAGCACAACAGCATCAGGGATACTCCATATGACGCCATCTTCATCGCTCTGCTGGTTGAGGAGAAACATAAGATGGAGATCCTGACTGCGGGCTTTGATGGCATCTACACCTACTTCGCCACTAACGGGTTTTCCTACGGCTCTACTCAGAAGAACTGGGCCTCTGTTAAATCCTTCTGCGAAGACAACAACCTGATTTTCATTCCAAGCGTGGGTCCGGGCTATATTGACACAAGCATTCGACCGTGGAACTTCCGGAATACGAGAAACCGAATCAGTGGCAAATACTACGAAACATCGCTAAGTGCGGCGTTGGAGACCAGGCCCGACTTCATCTCTATAACGTCTTTTAATGAGTGGCATGAGGGGACTCAGATTGAAACAGCAGTCCCTAAAAGAAGCCATATGGTGTACTTGGACTACCTACCCAATAAGCCAACTATCTACCTTGACATAACTCGCAAATGGGCCGCCATATTTGGTGGCGAGCGACAAAGATGGCCAGACTGATGATACCAAATCACTGATGGAGCGCGATAGCAAAAAACACAAAGTGGTGATTTATTGATTGAGAAATGACTACTTATTTGAATTTTGGCTGCTGTATCTTGCACTGAATTAACTGCTTTTAATCACTTCTTATGTTTAGTCATTCACAAATAAGCTGCATGATTTGTTCCTCCAAACCCAGCTGAAAGCGAAGGCTGTTTTTGCCTTCTGTGGTCCAAAATCATCGTTGAACAGGAAATAGGTACGCAAAACAGTGTGGTGGTAAAAAGCTGTTGCTTCACTTCTTTCAAAGCCGTGCCGGAGTAAAAGGTTACCACGAGTCGTAAACAAACAGCAGTTTTTATCCTGAAGTACCGGATGGCAAATAATTTCCTTTAGTGTGTTCACCTTCATGTTGATGGTTTCTGGCTGTGGTATGTGTCCTGGCGTAGGTGTCTGAACGAATCACTTGAATAAATTCTCTGGTTAGATACAGAAACTGCATATCACACATAGTTCACATTTTTGAATGGTGGCACGTTATTTGTCGAATTCCTCCCGAGAGGTTCTGAAGTGGAAGCGTCCTATCGAACAGTTCAGGTTTGATGCAGATGAACTCTGCTTTATATTCAGATTTGATAAAGTGATGCAAACTTATAAAAGTAGGGTGGCACATTATGGGATGATTTAATGACTCAAAACACACCCTAAGAGCTTTTTAAAGCCATGTTTTAAACTCAAAGTCTTCACCTTAATGAGGTCCAAACTGAACATGGAAGGGCTCGCTAAGGAGCAGCAACAGCAGACGGTTGCCTTTAAGGTCAGGAAATATATCTCAAGGAAGGAAATTTAGCATTTTCTGATGTCTGTGAGATCCAAACTTCAGAGTTATTTCCCACATTTCTTAAATTACTTTACTTTATAAATTGGTGCTCTTCCACCACGTTTATTTTTGTCGAACCCTTTGGAGAAAAGCTGAGACTCGCCTCACATCTGCCTTTGAAACTTCCAAAAATTGTCCCTGAATCCAAGTAAACAAGTTGTGTTTTTGTTGTGCAGCCATCGTTTTTCTTGTGTGTCATTTTGCATTCGCTTTTCAACTCAATTTTTTCTCACAGTGCACACTTAATAGCTATCTGGAGGATTTCAGGTCTTAGCAGGGAGAAAGTCATCCCAACAGAATGTGTTCCATGTCTGTATGGGTCATTGTTCAGCCATAGAAGCTCTCTTCAGTTAAACATTCTTTCTAGATTACGAGATATGTTCATCCTGCAGTGTGCCCTCTGTTTTCTGACTGACTGGTCCCATAGCAGAATGATTGAACTCTCCCCTTTTGCCTTCTAAAACATCCCTACTTCTTCATAACAACTCAGCAAAGTGTTGGAAAAATCTTCAGAGGTTCTGGTCTTTATTGACATGAAAGCATCACACAGTTCCATCCATCATGTGAATCGTGGGATGAGAATCAGCTCCTTTAAATCCGAGACGTTGGTGTGAGTTGGAAAAGGGTAAAATGCCTTCTCCAGGTCCGGGATGAGGTCCTGCCTCAAGTGGAGGAGTTTTAAGTATCTCGGGGTCTTGTTCACGAGTGAGGGGACAATGGAGCGTGAGATCCATAGGCCGATTGGTGCTGCGTCTGCAGTGCTGTACTGGTCTGTTGTGGTGAAGAGAGAGCTGAGCTGGAAGGCAAAGCTCTCCATTTACCAGTTTGTCTACGTTCCTACCCTATATGGTTGCAAGCTTTAGGTGGTGACCGAAAAAACGAGATCGCGGGTACAAATGTGTTTTTCCCCCTGGGTGTCTGGGCTCTCTCTTAGAGATGGAGATGTGACAGGGTGAGCATCCTGTCACTGTATCCTGATTGATCATGCACCCTGGCTACTTGGCCAAGGGGAAATCCCTTTGGCTGACTGGTTAGTGCGTGGCTCTCACCTGGGAGTCTGTGGATCAATCTTGCCCGGGCCCTCATTTCTCCACCTTGCCACAAAGAGAAGCTTGGTCATCCGGGAGGGGCTTGGAGTAGATTTGCTGCTCCTCCACATTGAGAGGAGCCAGTTGAGGTGGCTTGGGCATCTAGTTAGGATGCCCCCTGGACGCCTCCTGGTGAGGTTTTCTGGGCACGTCGAACATGGCCGAGACCCAAAGGAAGACCCAGGACACAAGGGACTATGTTTCTCGACTGGCCAGGGAATGCCTTGGAATTTCCTCCGGAGGAGCTGGCGCAAGTGGATGGAAGTCTCGGCTTCTCTGCTTAGGCTTCTGCCCTCATGGCTCGACCCCAGGATCACCGGATGAACAATGGATGCGAATCACCCATTCAACCACATCCAAGAGGTTCTGGACTGGATTGAGATCTGGCAACTGTGGAGACTGTTGGTGCCTAGTGAACTCCTGTTTAAAAATCCAGTTGATGATCTGAGCTTTGTGACACGGTGCATTGTCCTGCTGGAAGTAGCCATCAGATGAATGGTCCACTATTTGGCCATTAAGGGACGAGCAACCAGCAGCAATACACAGGTAGGCTGTGGTGTACCAGGCTCAGGTGGCACGGTCCAAAGTGAGCCAAGAACACCTATGCCACCGGCACAACTAACATCACCTTTTCACATGAGTTACCGCCACGTGATTGGCTCATTTGTGATCAGCAGTGGGAATATAGTGCATTTAACATATGTTGCAGCACAAGAGTTTTTATGTCTGGTTTAAAATTCTACAGATTTGGGTTGATGAGTGAATTCACAAATGACTAAGTAGGGGCTTTCCCTCAAGGTCTCATCCTTCTATGTTTATGACATTAATCCCAGCTGCTTCCAGAGGAGATTTCTGGGTTAAATTCTTGATCCCAAACCCTTTTCTGTGGTTATCAGTGAAAACGTCTGGATCTGTAGGATCCCTCTGCGCAAACGGACAAACGTTTAGGGCACACAGCACCACAGCCTGCAGCTGCATTAATGGTAAACAGAGCAAAAGGTAGCGCATGGGCAAGGCAGCAGGGAATTATTCCACATCGCATCACATCCCTGAGCGTCCATGGCGTCCTTTGACACCGAACAATGAATTTAATGTGCAGGCTAACGAGGTAGTCGCCCTTTGTATTCTTTTTAAAATTATTTTATTTTTTTCCATTTGCAGCCATCATCTGTAGTCGGTGTGCGGCGCAGGAGGGAGAGAAGATGCGGCGCACATTGCTCGAGCAGCCTCTTTTGTAGGTATCATCATTTTTTTTTCGCAGATCAAGACGACGGATGTGGACATATCTAGATCTGCTGCTGCTGAAACTCCCAGCGGAGTGGCTTTTTAAAATTTTTATTCATTCTAATTAATTCTATTTATTCCAGGCGCATCCACGTTTTCTGCGTGTTGCAAGGTGTCTTTGAAAAGGATACGGACCTCTGGGGGAAATGAAAGGAAGCTCAGTTTTGGCTCACGCCTTTCGAGATGGTGAGTGAAATGCACGTTCTTGATTTTCACGATTTTGACATCAAAATCGGCTAGTTAGAGGCGACCTGAGCAGAGAAAAGGACAGATAATCACCGATCACTCGCTTTTCCTTTCATTCTCGAGGTGCTATCTGTATTTTTCAGATGCATCATGCACCCGACAGTTCCTTCCCACCCATGAATGTGACTTCTTGTTTAAATCTTGCACTCTAAGCTGCAGCTCAAGTCATTTTCAGCCTCATTCACCACATTTTATTACTATTTAGACTATTTCCGCTCCGTTTAGGGTCCAATTAGTGTGTCGAGTCAACCAACACACAGCATATTCCCAACCATTTTAAAGTCTCTGTGAGATGATCGTGTTTTAAAATGACCTTCAGTGCTCGATACGGCAGGAAATTGTCACCTGCATGCAGTCATCTCTGCACAAGCAGTGCATTGGACATCCGGCTGGATTGCATCCACCTGGACATGAGCGCACCCAAATGACCCTACCTGTTACTAAAATCATAACTGGGATTTCGTGCATCTCTCTGACTAGTCAGAATCAGATGGTTTCTCGTCTTTTTTTCTGATTCTTCCCCCCAGCAGCATCTCAAATGTAGCCCCGCTGCAGACTACTCACCCATGCAGCACTCGTGTCCCAAATACATCACAATGTATTTACCAAAAGCCGTGTTATTTAAAGTCTGAATGGGCTGCAGCCTCTCATTTTATATTTGTGCCATTAAAACTGCTGGGGGAGGTTCATTCGCTTTGCAGGGGAATTACAGATAATTGCTAATTGCAACTTTATGCACCCACATTTCAAAGCCCATGCCTGAAAAAATACATAGAATAGAGGAAATATGCACTCAGTCAATCTAAAAAGTATGCAAATGAGTCTGCAGATAGACAATATGAACCGTTACTCCTGATTAACTGAAGACCCTAAAGTGACAGCTGTCAGTTTCAAACAAAAAAACAAAGACAAAAAGCACAAAGAATTTCCTTCAGCCCTTCAACAATAAACATGTTATTGTCACTTTACCTGGAGGTTTCAGAAATAACTCGATGTCTTTAGCCTTAAAGATGTTTTTCTATTCAGCAGAATACTGATGAATAACCTGCTTATATTTTGTTGTGAGAGCTTTATTAATGCTACAGCTATACCCCCGATCCTCCTTCCTGAAGGTCGTTAGAGTCTTCCACATCCTGGTCAACATGCAAGATGTTTTGATCACATTCCTGAAGGTGTTTATTACTGTGAAACTGTCCTGGAATGAAGTTCAGATCTGATTCAGATCAATGCAGCTGGTCAAAAGAGAAAGAACAGCATGAAACAAGGAAGGAAGTCTTGCAAATCAGCTTATTTACAAAGCTCTCCATAAGGTGAACAGCTTGGTGCTCATTGTTTAAAATAAAATAACTCGAGAGAAAGAACGTTTTTCTGAACGTTTAAGGATGCCCCCAGAGTGAGCGTTTGATTGTGTAATATAGAGTAAAATTCAATGTCACAATGTTCCATATTTATGTTCTTTAGAACGGAATGTCTGCAAGCCTCATGAAAACATGTTTATCTGCAAGGACAGCATGCTCACGCGTGTGTGTGTGTGGACAAAATTGTGTTAGCTATATCTGATTGATGTTAGATGGCCATAAGAAACTAAAAATGTCAGAGTTTTTACTCCAAGTGTGGAGATTCAAGAGATCTACACTAGGGTAGGACTGCATATTTTAAATGTGTCATTTTCATTATAGTAGTGAGAGGTATATTGAAAGAGATGTGTGATAGCACGCCGATCTGATGGACTTTCGCAGCCCTTATTGCCACAAGTGGTTTAGATGACTGTGGCTGGAATGCTGAAACACACAGAAAGTCGTGTGTGTATCCTGATGACAGAATACAAAAAAAAAGGTGTGAAAATGTGTGTTTAAGCAGAAGCTGAATTGTCAATATTAACTGAATTGCTTGAGAACTTGAAGTTTCGGCAGAAGAGGTTATTTTAAACACGGTGACTGTTCCAAGTAAGAAATAAAAACCCCTAAGGAAAATCAGGCTTCCTGAAATCCTAGTTGAAGGGGATGTTATGGAAGATTGTTTATTGCTTAATAACATCCACCCATCCACAACACACGGGGAGCTGGTCTCCAATCAACTTCAAGCCATACTGTGTGTGTTTTGAGTCGTAACAAACAACGGTGAACATCAGGGCGATTTGCAGATCTGTGGCCGCAGTGACAGCTTATTGATCTCTCTCACAAACAAATTCTGCCTCCATCAGTCTTCAGTCATTGTCAGGAAATCTACAACTCTGGTCTGCAATCGACCAATGCAGATATAAACGGGGGGGGGGGGGGGGGGGGGGGGGGGAGAGACTAGTGATGAGAGTACAATGCGAGAGTAGCATTAGCAACATTACCAACCATGGAAACCACACCCTAGAACAGTGGTTCCCAAACTTATTTAGCCGCGCACACCCCCCAGCCCCCACATCAGGGCATGGCTCTCTCTCTCTCTCTCTCTCTCTCTCTCTCTCTCTCTCTCTCTCTCTCTCTCTCTCTCTCTCTCTCTCTCTCTCTCTCTCTCTCTCTCTCTCTCTCTCTCTCTCTCTCTCTCTCTCTCTATATATATATATATATATATATATATATCAGACGTCAAGCTAAACAGACAGGGTTAAAAAAATATGATCGACCTTTTTCCCCATCACTTTCATTCTTTAAATAGTAATTAAAACGCATTCGATACCATTCCAATTTCCTTTGCTTTACTTTTAAATAAATATTTAGAGTGCCCAGGTAGCACATAAACAATGCAATTTAACGGTTTTCTTAAAGTAGGAACGTTTAACCTGTGCAGCCAGAGCGCTCTCCTTCCTTCTGCTCTGCGTAAACCTGAGCTGATCACCTACTTGTGCGTAATCAAATGTCTAAAGGGGAAAATATGGAAAAGATATTTTGCCTCAGACCGACTTATTGCTGTTTTATGGTGTGGCTGAATCTGCGATCCGCTGCCACGTGGACTGGAATAATAAATGCTGCAGTAACATGAGTTCAGGTTCGGAGTCACTGGCTGGAGCGGACCCGACTTTAATACGTCATCCCAAAATAGAAGCTAATATCTTAATTTGACCTTGATTGAAAAATGTTATAAAACCTCTTAAAAGTTTTTATCACAGTGAGGCAGAGCTCATTTCTGCTTTCAGTCTGACGGCGCGCCGGAGTTTGCGCAGCGTGCGCGCTTATTGAATCTGTCTGTGTGTGTGTGTGTTTGTGTTTGTGTGTTTGAGTGTGTGTGCACGCGCGCGGCACAGCTCCATGAGCCGCTCAAGTCACTACGTCTCGTTATTGGCGCTATTTAAACCAATGTTGTAAAATTACTTCTGCCCAGCCCAGATGTGCTCACTTGTGCACCCAAGAGCCGTGGTTCCGCTGGAACGCGTCTGATCTGACAGACGCACTCTGAACTTCAGATCTTCAGCGCGCTTTTAATAGCCTGAATCGTTTCTTGGTTTATTTTGTTACATCCACAATGTTCTGTGTGTGAGGTTTACAACGTCAGAACACCTGCATGAGACAGGATGTTAATTACAATCTGCCAGAATGACTCACCACCTTCAGATTCCTCCAACACCATTAAAAATGATCAAATACGGAACATATCGGCGTGCGCAGGCCAGAGTGCTGAAGCTCGGCGCATTATTATTATGAAGCTAGGGCACAAGTGGAGGACACGCGCGCAAAAATATACTTGTTTTCAATTACATTTATTGGGCCCACTTAGTTTTTCTTTGGCCCACCCACAAATGAGTTTCTACAATATTGGTGAAATATGACAGACTTCTCTGAGCTCCGCAGCCATTACACTTTTCACCTCGCGCACCCCCTAGCGGCAGCTCGCGCACCCCCGGGGGTGCGCGCACCACACTGGGAATCCCTGCCCTAGAACATGGGTAGGGAACCCTGGTCCTGGAGAGCTGATATCCAGCACATTTTAGATGTTTCCCTGCGCCAACACCTGATTTTAATCAGCAGATGATTAACCTGAGCCTGGTGAGCTGCTGAACAGGTGACTCAACTGTGATTAAGCAGGGAAACATCTAAAACCTGCTGGATAGCAGCTCTGCAGGACCAGGGTTCCCTACCCCTACTCCAGAACATGTCGACCACTCCTCTTTAGAGTTTGGTTCACGGTCTAATAAAAGAAAAGTTAAGAGTGGCACTTTTGTCTCTTTTCATCAATGTAGTGATGTATGATTTTCAGCGAGTGTGCTGGTGACGTTAGCGTGTCCTGCTAGAGTGAGACATCGTGCCTTTTGTTTCACTGAAATCTTGATCCATACAGGATGCCACCTCTCTAGTGTCCTCACAGCGTGACACGACGCAGTCCTTCGCAAAAGCAAAAAATGCAAGGTGGCCTGGGCTTTGAACATGCGCGTCTTTTGTTCTGTAGGAAGAAACCGGAGTATCGGAGAACATGCTAGTTTTGTGCAGAAAGACCACAGTGGCAAAATTCGAACTGGCAACCTTCTTTCTGCAAAGCAACAGCTCTACTAACTGTGCCACCATGCACCCTAGCTTAATAACATTTAAAGATTATTGCCTGAAGATAAGAATCACATTTGCTGTGCCTGATGATGTGCATCAGAGTAGAGATCTGGATTATTCTGTCTACAGTTAAAGGTAGACGATAAGAGTTTGGGTGCTTTTCTCACTGCAACAGAGGAAAGTAAATTTAATGATGATGATGGAGTCATTTTCAGGATGATAATGCATCTGCCTGAGAGTTCTTCAGCTGAGACATCCACTTAGTGATGTGGTGAGCATTTCAGATTTATCAGAGAAAGGAGAATGAGGAGAAGCCATAAGAAAAGGGATTTTTTTTTATATAAAAAAGGTTATATGAAAATGATAATAATAAGTAGAATGAACTTTATTTAGCATAAACTCAGGGATTCTTGTGTTTTTGATCCAGCTCCCATGGTAAGCTAAGAGAAGAGAGGTTGTATTTTGCTGTGC